TAGGGCAAAATGTGCTGACTCCAAACTTTTAAACCCCTTCAGAGCATGAAATGGGAGAAGGGACAGTAGGTGGTTTTTTAAGCAGTAGATATATTTATGATGTGAAGCCAGAATTAAGATTCTTGGAAGTCATTGGTTGTTTGATTTTATCCATTGTAACTCAATGCTTTAGAGGTCGGGATCTGGAGGTGAACAACCAGAACAAATTACCAACTGTGACCTTGTCCTATCAGTAAATTATTTGATTTCTGAACTTCATTCAGCATTGACATCTCTGGATGTGTGATACCAGTGAAAGCCAAAGACCAGTTTTTGAGAAAATGTATTACTGGAATACTTTATCTGAGCTAATGTCCTCTGAGATATCCAGAGTTTTTCTAGTCCTTTATCGCAATGACTAATATTGTTTGAGTTATAAGATCACTTGCCTGAGCAGTTTAAAAAGATTAAATACCATCTGATGTCACCAGGTTCAAACTTGTTCCTATGATGCTGAAGTCTAAACAAAATTTTAAACCGACCTAAGAATCTGTGGTTGACTAAAGGAAGGGGACACAATAAATATAAACATACTGAAAAACAATTAGAAACTATTAAAAAAATATAGCTTAATCTGCTTATAGTCCTTCATTATGATAGCACAGCAAAATCTCCTTTTATCTTTGTTATGAAAGCACATAGGCCGGAAAAGAAAAAGACTAAACAGTAAACTGTGGTTAAGTATAAGAGACTGCACCATGAGAACAAACAGGAGAAAGGAAATCATCAAGGCAGTCGCTGAAGCCTTGAAAACAAAGATAAATAAAGTTAAACTTGCTGTATAACAGCAGAGGAATTTGCTATGTGTCTAGGAGTGTTTATCATTTTGTTCTCTATGAATTTTCTCTCTATTCATGACATGAGTTGGTGAAGTTCTAAGGATAATGAACCCTAAATCTCTCCGTTAGTAGGCAAGGTAAATGACTGCGTGGCATGCATGTTTGTGGAGTTCATGCCAAGCAGTTGAAGTGTGTTCTTTGTTAGGAAGTAGTAACTAAATCAGTTGATTAAATATACACAAGGGAGTTAATGCTCCAATGAAAAGAGCAGGAGAATGCCCGCCCAAGACTGATCTTTTCATAGGAAAACAAAGACAAGGTATCTGTGTCTGATTCTGCTGGTGATTCACTTAGTTTGTGATTCGAGTCGCTTCAACTCTGCTTCCAGTTAATTTATACAGGATTTGTGTCCAAAGCATTTAAAGGTTCTCACACTTAAAGGTGTTATGTGATCAATCATTACTACTAATCAATAAAAGCATATACAAGGTTCCAACACATTTATCGACTGCTTCATTGACACAGCTACAAAGTAAACTAATGTTTTACTGTGTCTCTGGCTTCTTTTCAAAACTGTACTATAAAAGCACAGCCTGTGTGTTAATTTTATAGGGCTACCAAAAGAAATTGCCACAAACAGCATGGCTTAAGATAAGGGTGTGGAGAAATTTATTGTCTCAGTTCCAAGGCTACAAGTCAGAAGTCAAGGTGTAGGCAAAGCCATGCTTGTTCCACACCTCCAACACAGGATCTCTCCTTGTGTCTTCCAGCAGCTGTTTGCCCAGCATTCCTTGGCTCCTGGCCGCATCGCTCCAGCATGTGTCTCACGCTGCCTTCTCCTGTGTCTCGGTCTTCTTGTTAGGACACAGCCATGTTGGAAGAGAGACTCCGAGGTACTAGAGGTTAGGACTTAAACATACATTTTTTTTAAAACACACAATTTGATCCATAGTAACCCACCATAATGACTTGATTTACATTATCTGTCTACAGAAAAAAAGCTATTATCTTTAAAACAAAAACTATTTCAAGGGAGTAAGTCTCTCCACGATAGGTCCTAGGTGGTGCTCCAGTTCCTGCTTCCAATGTTGTCTATGTTATGAGTGACATTTCCCTTCTCAAGGTTTCCTTCTAATACCTGAATCCCTCCCACTTAGCACTCCCTATGCCTGCAGTGCTTTCCTGAAAAGCTTCTTCCCAGCCCTGTCTAATTCCTTTTGTCCTTTAAGGGTCACCTTACACCCTCCTCCAGGAAGCCAATTCCGCCAATGTCTGTGCCTAAGTAACCAAAGTGATTTATCTTTCTCTAAAGCCCAGAGTGCCTACTATTTCACTGGTGATTTTAAAAACACACTCAGTAGCTTTATTTAAAAATAAGTAGCACACTATATAATTCTCAAAAAGTATAAAAACTCATTTCCTTACCCTTCAACTGCATACCCGCTGAACCTCCAAATGTCCCCCAACCCTAAGCAGTCCTTCCACTCTTCTGCTTTGTACTAGGTGATCTCTAAGGTTGCTGCCAGCTACAACACTGAGGTCCTAACACAGAGTTTTCACCTATGAGGTGCAGCGCATTGTGATGCGATGTACTCTAGAATCCAACAGAAGCCGATTTGGAAGCCCAGATCTGTCTGTGTCTTCCTTACTCCAGTCACTGTTGAGGGTCATGGGAGTGCAGCAGTGACCACACTGCCTGGGGTCTCCCTTGATATTCACAGCCTCATGGGAGGAACAGACAAGTTAAAATATGCGCATTAGTATATAACGTAATTTTGGGAGCTACCTCCCAAGCAGAAAAATACAGTGGAGCAAGAGACAGCGAGGGAAGAGGGTGTGGAAGACCATCTTAGGGATGTGATGGAGAATGTGCTGTGGGAGGTGCCATTTGGGTGAGTCCTGGAGAAGAATGTTACAGACAGAAATGAAGTTTCTGCAGAAGTCCAGAGCAGGATGACCAGAGCACACTGTTCACAATATTGTTTTTCCATTTTATTTTATTTTAGAGACAGTACATTATGATCTTTGTTCTTCTTAAGAGGTGCATCCTTTGAAGAGGAGTCCATTGAGCAGGATGGGAAGGGCAGGCCTCACATAACGGCCGGGGTATAGCCTTCCAGCCACAAAGAGCAGGACGTGGGAGAGCCGCAGGCAGAGTGCTCAGAGTCCACTCATCCAGACAGAAGGAAACTGAGGCTGAGGCTGAGGCTGAGCACAGGCAAGTCAGGACCCACAGGCCTTGTAGCCATACAAGGAATATGTGTTTATCTGTGTGTCCTGGGAAGCCCCTGGACAATCACGCCCTCTGACTTCCTGTTTTGGAAAGTCTACGGTGGTTGTATGCAGATAGTGGAACCAGGCTGAGTCTGTAGTCAGGACGAGACTGTTCTGTGCTTTATACTAAAATGCATGTCATAAATATGGTGAGAAGTGTGCAGGCTTGAGCTGTATGTTGAAAACAGACACAAAAGGAATGGTTGGGGACCTGAATACAAAAAACAAACCCATCCAAAAAGGAGAAGAGAGTAAAGAGAGAAGAGAGAGAAAATGAAGAATCACTCTGAGTTCTACTTTTTTCCTGGACAACTAGATAAGGTGGAGCCAGGAACTAAGACAAGGCAAACCAGGTACAAACACAGTTGGCGGACACAGGCGGGAATTCAAAGAAGACTCAGAGTTAGAGACCTGTTAGGTCTCTGGTGGAGATTTTGGGAATGGCTGGATAAGAAGACAACCTCATCGTCTACTTAAAAAAAGGATTCTTCAGACTACCAATGATTCATTACTACATTTAAAAATCATTTGAGTAGATAAAACACCCTAAGGAAAGGGCATGCTCAGAGAAAAGAGAGAGAAGAGAAGAGAAGAGAAGAGAAGAGAAGAGAAGAGAAGAGAAGAGAAGAGAAGAGAAGAGAAGAGAGGAGAGGAGAAGACAAAGCCAAGCCAAGAATCATTCTGCTTAGAGATTGGGAAGAAAAGTAGAAGAATGAGAAACAGCTGTGCATAAAACAGGGGTAACTGCTAGAAAATGTGGATCCTGATGCCACCCGAAAATCTAAGACCCAGCTGTTGAGTTCACCCATAAGAATTTGTGGGAATTAAATAAGATTATATGTATTTGTAAAGATCTCAGGAGAAAACTTGACCAGAATAAATGTTCAGTAAACTCTGAGCAGTTGAATAATTTTAGAATCTCCCTTACATTCATGGCTGCAATGGTTTGAGTGTTCTTGTCTACTCAAAATATGTTGAAACGTATTCCCTTGAACAGCTGCGAGGTGTAGCCTTTGGGAGGTTCTTGGGTTAAGAGGGCTGAGTAGGCTCCTGGAGGGAGTTGAGCCATTTGCCCTTCTTCCTCTGCCAGGTTCAGACAGTTCCCCTCCCATCTCCAGGAGGCAGGATTCAGGGAGCCATCTTGGAACCACAGACTGACCACACTCTCTCCACGAAACCAACCTACTCTCTAGATCTCAGACTTTCCAGCCTCTGGGGCAATGCAAAATAAATTCCTCTTCTTCATAAGTTTCCAACCTCAGCTACAGTGGCCCAAATGAACTTAAATAACGAACGCTGGGCTATTCTCAGATTTGAGATAGGCTAAGATTTGTCAAATAAGTAATAGGATTCATCCTAGACAATAGGTACCATGGTGATTAACTCTTCATTTTAGAGTGGTGTGTGTATATGTGCATATGCATGCTCCAAATCATATATGTAATGGCTAAATTACTGTTAGAACATTTTAGAAGAAAAATTCCTATAAAAGAGAGTTGTATGTGTGGAGGTTGAGGAGAAAAGAAAAAGATGAGCACCTGAGTGTTTACTTACGTATGTCATACAGTATAAAAGATGATTCTAATTTATTTAAAGTTAGTTTTAAAATATTATAAGGAAATGAAGTAACATCTCTAAACACAATTGAAAATGTTAATAAAGGCAATATCAAAAAGATGTTTTAATTGATTTCAGTTTCTTATGGTGTCCTTTTGTGAATAACAATTAATTAAAAGAATTGCTACTCATTAACTATTCTCAAAGCGATATAATTTATACATACTTTCCCATTTTCAAAACAACAGCATAAGAATGATAGGTGTTATCGTTTTACAGAAGATGTATTTGAGGCTCAGTGACTTCATATAAATTGATTTAAAATATAATCAATAATTCACAAGACAAGAATGTGTTGGACTCAGGTCTTTCCAACTAAAAGGCCCCATTTTATTTAAAGTACTAAGCCAGCATCATAATACTTTTACATTTAGTCTTCATATCCAACATTCCTTTTATTTTCACATACAATTATAAATGAGTGCTTTTTCTGTCTAAATAGCCTGGTTCAAAATATACAAAGACAAGGAAGGACATGTCCAGTTTTACGTTACCTCACACAGTTATATGGTTTACAAATCCCTTCTGAGATTTAAGCAAACTTTAACACAAAACAAACCTAAATCATCCCAGAATTCAGAGTCTTCTGCTCACCAGGGAGTAGCTCCCTTCCAGCTCTCATGCTGCACAGGGTGAGGTCAGACCCCATCAGCCAAACACAGAGTAAGTGGAAGCAGCCAGGTTGTATGAGGGCCAAGAAAAGAAATTAGTGACCTCTGCCACATAGTTAACATAGAGCTCTAGGGATATTAAGCTCAGGATACTTGCAATTAACCTAGCTGATCCTGTAAAAAATGCAGGAGAGTAGTGGTGGATTTGGTAACCACAGTGGGTCCAGAGTCTGATGGATTTGGTATCCAAAGTTATCCACAGAATGTTCTAGGGCCTAGAAGGAACAAAAACAAGGAAAGTGAGGAAAAGTGATCTCATTTATAGAGATTGCTAACAAGTGACTAAAGTTAAGGACTATATTCATTTCGAGACCTTTTATGATACTTCCTCCTAGTTAACCTCCTTATGTGTGACATAACTAGTTTTTGCCATATGTCACTAATTTTTGATCTGGAGTGTGTATTTCCCTTTAGAAAGTTCTGTACACATTCTCCACTTTGTAGTATGGGTTATTACTTTTATCTTCAGAAACATATCTGCTGAAATGTGTGGGGAGGGGGTAGGGCTGGGGTTATTTAGGAAAAAAATTTAATAAATATGAGCTGGAATAAACGTAACAAATAGGGACCAATATTATTTAACTTTGTATGACTTATAGAAAAGTTATTAGCAATTTCTTAATTGTATTTCATTAACAGGGCAGGGGATATAGCTCAACAGCATAGCACCTGCCAGGCAAGCACAAAAGACATGAGTGTAATATTTCATTAACAGTTTTCTCTACTGGTGTTAATATGCATTGTTATCTATACTTTTCAGAATAACATTTTCAATTAAATCATTGAACATTCTTCTCTAAGAGTCTTGAGGTCACTGAAATCTATCATTGGAGACACAGGAACAGCTAGGTAGGTCAACATATGATATCTTTCTTTGATTAGGAACTACCATGCTATGTCACATACTGAAATACATTTTCCCCAATTCAGGCAAAGCAGTGATCAGTCCACATTCAGATAAGATGCATGTGTGACTGCAGTAGTCACCTTCACACTTTGCTGAATTCGTTCAGCCAATGGGGACTGGTGGTTCCTGGGTCGCACCCAAGCTGTGGACAGAGAGCTGAGACTCCTGAGTAAGACTGTCAGCGCTTATACCCAGGGTAAGGGAAAGCTCAGTCCACGTCCCAAGCAGTACCCAGCCCTAACCACTGTTTTATCTCTGCACAAAGTCCTGAGAGTTCAGAGAGTGAGTCCAGAGTCTGCTCATGTCGCCACAACAAAATTCCACAAACCAGGTGACTTTAAGAGCGGAATATATTTTTCTCTCAGTTTTGGAAGACTGGATGCTGAAGGTCACATGCTGCCCTCTCTGCTCCTGCACAGCCTTTCTTGCTTGCTTGTAGATGACGAGCTTCCTATTGTGTCCTTATACAACTAAGACAGAGCTAGTTGAGCCCAGAGCCCATATAACCTCATCCAACTCTAATTCCTCCCAAAGGTCCTCTCTCCGAATACTACATCGAGGGGATTGGTCTCAACGATGACTCTGGAGAGAAGGACCCCAGGATGTTAGTCCATGAGAGGAAAGGGTTGACTGAGCCAAGGTTGCAGAGAAGAGCTGTACAGAAGTGACACCGAGGTCAGCCTCCAAGGAAGCACAGAGTGTCAGGGGAGGGCGGGAGACAACTGGAGTGACTCCCCTTGAATGCAGGACAATTGCTGCAACTTTGATTATATTAGACTGATTTCCATATACTGATATGTAGAGAGCTAACTATGGTATTTCCTTCTTTTCAATTGACCCTAAGCATTGCAAATAAGGCCAGCTGAGGTACTGGTGTGTAGTCTCTAAGGCCATCAGACAGTCTCCTGTTTCCTCACTTAGTGCTCTCTAAGATATGAGCACAGTGGGATGGTAGAGCCATCAGCTCCAGGAAGGTCAAGTGGGTATAAGCCTCAAGGTAAAGAGGCTGTGACTCCCTAGGACACAAAAGTTTACATCTCAGAAACTGAAGCCACAGCCTCCTAAAAAATTCAGTTGCTGCCTTAATTGAATTATGCAAATTGATCCTTCTATATAGCTTTATTTCTACATTTTGCAGAGATGCTTTTCTCTCTACCTGGCCAGCCAGCTCAAGTCGCCATCCTCAGTCACTCATCCCTGAGCCACCCCTCTTCTTCACCATAATAAATAGTGGGAGAGGCCTAGGATTAAGGCTTTTGTCTGTGCAGCCTCACAGGGGTTGGACTCAGGACCCCTTGGCTGCCCTGATCTTGGAGTATGTCCTGGTGTCTTTACTCTCACTGTGGGTTGCATTGGAGGTGGTAGATTGGAATTAACCTGCTGGGGTTCCAATAACATCTCAGTGGGATTACAAATATAACTTTTTGGATTGTGAGGAAGACTGAAAAAGGGATTACAATACTTGGATAACTGTACTCAATATCTGGATTCAATGGGGAGAAGCAGGGAGGACTCACCTGACAGACAGAGCAGCAGGAACAAAAGCACGAGAGGGCCAGGAACAATGCGGCTTGCCTGCAATCCCAGCTGCTTGGGAGGCTGAGGAGGAAGGTCACGGCATGAGGCCACCTGGACACCTTAGCAACACCCAATCTCAAATAAAATAAATAAAAAAAATACAAGAGGGTTGGGGATGTAGCTCAGCACCCTCTGGGTTCAATCCCCAGCGCCACAAACTGAAGCAATGCGATGACACTGGAGGACATAAAAGGAGCACCCAAGGAAAGGCAAGTGAGGTGGAAACTTAGGTGGACGGAGTTCAGAGTCCCTAAGTGCGATGTCACTGAGCTCAAATGTTTTTAACACAGCAGCGGAAAACCGCTGAAATGGTGTGTGCATGTGTGCTATGATAAATTCAGTTCTGTGGGTAACAGTAATACGAGTTCAGTGTTTAAAACTGAACTTTCTAAAGCTTTTCTGTTGAAATAATTTCAAACGTACTGAAAATCTGCAAGAACAGTATAAAGAACTCCTGAATATGTTTTACTCTGAGTAGTCATTACTCTTTTGTCATATTTGCTTTATTCTTTGTGTGTATATTACATATTATACTGTAAATATATCCTAGACATATAGATTTGCATATGTATGTATACCCACAAATATAGACACACATACATACCTACATAGATGTAACACAATCATTTTTCTGAACTACTTGAAATAGGTTCATATATCAGTCCCTTTGTCTTTTAAGTGTGTATTTTTCAAGAATAAAGACCTTTCTTGTTTGTTTTGAAACAAGGTTTCATTATGTACTTTGGTCTGGCCTTGAACTCACTTTGAGGACAGGCTGACCTCAAATTCACAGAAATTCTCCCGTCTCAGCCTCCCATGTGCTAGAATTACAAGGTTGTGCCACTATGCTTGGCTTAAAGACATTCTCTTTTATAATCATTGAGATCCTCCATCATTTGAGGTCTTTATTTTTTGAGTTCTCATTTACCTAGTGTTTCACTAAAACCAGGGTTTTTATTAATGTGTATTATCAAGTAGGTTAAGATGCAAAATGTGTGTGAAATTGCAGATTTGGTTCCCAATTGATTGTACTACATCTTTTTGGAAGTCAAAGTCTTTGGGATTTGTGGATTTAAAGAATCAGAAGAAACACATAGGCCAAGTTTAGAGACTTACTGTATCTTTAAGACCCTGAAGAATTTAGGAGTGAAGAGCCTGAAAGATAAACAGGACTGTGGTTTAAAAAGACATTGTAACCTTGAGTAAGCTACAATTTCCTTAAAAACACATTGTAACCTTGAGTAAGCTACAATTTTCTTAAAAACACAATTTAAAATTAAAATAACCATGGTACGGCTATCAAATTCAGGAATTTAACACAGACACAATACCTTTACCTCTTTCGGTGCTGTCAGTTGCTCTGTAAGGAGCCTAACAGTACAGCGACTTTCTCTTGAGTAAGACTCAGTCCAGCTCCTGAGTGCCATTTCATTTTTGTGTCTTTCAGTCTCCTGCAACATGGAACAGTTCCCTCAGGCTTTATTTTTCCAGACACTGACATGTTAGCATAGTTAGGTTTTAAAGAAAGCAAGAGTCTGAAGAGACTATTACTGAAAAATAGCTCAGGTCAGCAATCAAGAAATGACTGGGGAAAAGGCGTGAATCAGGAGCAAAGAGAAGCTTGCATAGTGCGGCCAGAGGAAGGCGAAATCCTACTTCGGTGGGAGAGAAGGGCACCTGGTGGGAGATCTGATGATACGCAAAAAGAGGAAGATGAATGTTTGAACCACCTACTGGATGGTGGTAAGGTTTAAGTAGCAGAGACTGGTTTTTGTTTGATTCTAGGCTGAAGAGGATAACTAGGCTGACTTACTGGTGAGTGGACCTATGAATGGTACGACTGGAAATAAAGCACGCAGCTCGGGTGAAACGTCCAGGATAAGACAGAACATACAGGTGGTTAACTAGCACTCTGGGAGGCTAAGGCAGGAAGATCGCAGGTTTCAGTCAGGTTCGGGCAATTTAGTAATTTAGCAAGGCCTTGTCTCAAAATAAAAAAGGGCTGGGGATGTAGCTTAGCGTGAAGGCTGTGAATTTGATTAGAAAGAGAGGGAGAGGCAGAGAAGGGGGGAAGAATGGGGAGGAGAAAGGGGAAGGAGACGGAAGGGGACAGGGGGAGGAAAGAGGATAAACACAACCCATCTTCTGCTTGTTTATGTTCCAAATGAGCCCTGAACACAGCAGATACAACGAAAAAGGCAAGGGGTGTCCAGGTTCCCCTCTTGGCTGGCCTCAGTCTGGGGACTTCCCCTGGGAATTTCCCTGCAGAGCTCAGGAAGTGCTAGGTCTGCAAATTAGTTCAGCTCCTCCCCTGCTGATGGGAATCTGTCAATCAGAAATTTATAGGACCCTGGACCCCTGTGATTCTCCATACCAGAGCCGTAGTCTCCATCCAGAATTTTAAAATGCTCCGAAAACAGAAAGCATTTTGTATCTCATTTGGCTGTGAAACCTGACCCAGAAGCCTGGGAGGCCCCTGGGAGTTCATTTATCCTGACCGCTGGGATTAGTCATTTGGCTCAAGACTTGGCCGTTAGGTGCTTGGTATAAGTGCTGCCCTAGACTTCATTGAGGGAGCTACCTCATAATTGCTGGCTCTGTATTTCCTTTCTAAAATCCAAAACATTCTGAATTTCAAACTCAGGTGGCTACAGAATTTCACATGAGGAAACTTGAAAGTGTATTCAAAAAGTGAGAGAAGTACTTTGCAACCTAGAGTGGTACCTTCAGACAAATATTGGGCCCCTGAAAATGTGGGTGGAACTCAAAGGCGCTTGTTTTTTAAAGGTGCCATTTCATAGCGCAAACCACTGGGAAGGTCCTGATACCACCCAGTGAGACCCACTGTGTCTCTCAGCCCGCATCTCTGGGAGTTTGGTCAGCAGGCTTCACAGGACTGGCTGACCACTCTGGTCCCAAGTTCTCATCCTCCTCAGGACATGGTTCTTCATATTTTGTCAGTCGCCTTTCTGAACTGTGATGGAGTGTCAGAGAAGAGAGGCCAGGGCAGGAGTACCCTCTACCCACGTGCTATACGACTTCTCTCCCATGTTTCCTGCTGTCTGCTCTGAACCCAGGGATGGGGCTGGGGGTGAACAAGGAATGAAAGTAGCTGGATATTTAAACATCCATTTGGTCATTTATTTGCTCATCATTTATTCATTCAAGTACTATATATTGATCACCCATAGTGGGCCAATATTTTAGAGAGCTAAATTAGGCAAAAGTATTCTCAGCAGTCAGATAGGGCTGGGCCCTCAAGAGAGTCAGGGCAAAGACAAAAGCTCATTACATCTGAGGCTGCAGATGCATCTGTTGAAGGCCAGGCCCCAAGATAAAGAAGAAATGACCAGGCCTACCTGCCTGCCAAAGGGATGAGTGGTAACACCTGCCCAACAAGGTTTAGCCAGGTATCAATCGCTTTGGTGGGTGACCAGGCCCTGGACCCATGCCTTCCTGAAGAGTTCTTTGTTCTTTCCATGTATGCCTACTCCATGATTTTGCCTCCCCATTGGGTCAGTATTACCTAAGCAGCTATACTCATGATCTTATGGGTTGATCCTAGCTTTAGCCCACATTGTGCTTACCTTGTGAATGTGCTCTATGATTTACCCTGAAAACTGGGGTCCTCGGCAACCTACTTCGGACCCCCCCCCCTTACCTCTCAGGAGCTGTATGTATCCCTCTTAATAAATTTTTCCTACTCTTAAACTCCCCTGTTCCTCAAAATTCATTCTTTGATTTTGGGGAACACAGACTAGGTGTGTTGGATACTTAACAGGCTGGGAATTATGGGATTTCCCCTATATCATTTGGGACTCTTACATCACTCCTGTATGTTAGGTGCCTGAGATGCAGTGATTAACAGATGAGTCCATGTCCTCTCTGAGTTTACAGTCTAGCAAAGGAGACAGGCACTAACCAGATTGCTAACCACAATACAATAGCATGTGCTGCCAATGGGGAGACAGTGTGCGGCCAGTGTCTAAAGTGGCCGGAGGACCAGCTCGGTGTAAAGGCTCAGGGCAGACTTCTTAAACCATAACTTCAGAGTTGACAGGATGCCAAAAACTAGGCGGTGGCCAGTACGGATGGTGAAGTGTCAGGAAAGGTGAGGGTGAGTTTCAGACAAAGCAAACTGCATGAAAACAGGGGCAGGAAGGGGACTGGTCTAAATGCGGAAGTGAAAACCATCACTGTGGTACAGGAAAGCACACAGGTTGAGATAAAGGAACTTCAGTCTTTCGCCTGAGAGCGCTAATCAGCCACTGAGGAGTTTTAAGTAAAAATGTGACAATCAGATAGGATTTATCGGATCAATCTGTGATGGAGAGAAGGATCAAGGGTAACTGCAGGAAGAGCTGACGGAAATCAGATGGCTCTCTTAGGACACACACGGATCTAACAGAAGACAGCACAGAATCATACCCAGTGGACACAACTCAGCTAGATTCGTCCTGCTCCTCAGACAGTGGGTTACAAAGCTGAGCCAGGGCTTCCAGGACAGCTAGAAGAGCCTCGGAATAAAAATCGTAGTTGATATGGCTTCACCATTTAGTTTGTTTCTATGAATGCTGATCAGTTAAACTCTCATGCGAAGATGGCCACAAAGTTACATTAAACACTGTAATCATATATTATCATATCTAACTGACTTCACTCATCCTGAGCAGAATTTATTCTGACTTTCTTCCACATCCCAAGACTGTTATGCTGTCTGCTGAAACTCCCCACTAAAATGGATTGAGGTAACGTGTTACTGTTCATTTATCTTGGGACTTAGATGCAAAGGGTGGGGGAAGCAAGTAATAGTTCTTTGACACTAGCACTAGGTAAGTTAGTAGAAAGTTGGAAAACTAGCACTGGTTTTCAGTAAGCAGGTTAACATACCTCCACTAGGCTTGCGGTCTGAAGCAGGACAGCCAAGAAAATAATCAGGCCAAGTATATCTTTAGCAGGAAGAGAAAGATAAAACAAAGCGTAAGTCATTTCCAAATGGCATACATGGTACTTTGGAATCCTAAAAAAATCCCGTCTCTTTTACTACTGTGGGATTTTATCAACAACAGTGAGAAAATTACATATTACAAGTTAAAGTACTTAGTACAGTGGAAGCAGGAATTTTTAATTTTTGGCATTTATTTGAAAATAATATCCAAACATGAAAGGAAATGAGTACTGCATTCTTTCAGTACTGTTTAGTATTCTAGAAATAAGAATGATCTTGTAAAAAAGTATTACTTGAAACTTATTATTTGAACATGACTATGCGTCCTCTCATTGTGACTTTAACTCCCAAAGGGCTGTGGTACCCTCAGAAAGCACAAGCTTGGTGTTTAGGGCTAATTATTAAGACAATATCGTCTCCTTTTGGAAGGTGTGGAGGTTAGCCCTCTCCACTCTCTCACTGCTGTAAGGAACATTCAGACATATTTCTACACAGAGCATTACGGGCCAGGTATGGAAGCTCATGCCTGTGATCCCAGCACTCAGGAGGCTGAGGCAGGCAGACTGCTATGAGTTTAAGGCCAGCCTGAACTGCATGGTGAAACTCTGTCTCAAAAAAATAAAAATAAAATAAAATAAAAGAGGAGCAGCATGGGTGATTTCCAAATGTTTAAAAATAGATACAATAAAAGTAAATTATTAACAGTTTACTAAAAGCCCACACCTGCATTTCCATCTAAGGTTACCCATTACATCTGCCATAGCCAGCACTCACCAAAACACTAGTGACCTCAGACAATCATGCAATGTGGTAAGTAGTGTGCTTTTGGACTACAGAGATTTTACCTTCTCATTCTATGGTGTGGTGAAGAATTATCCATTCCAACAGTAATAACTTCTAAAGATGTGTACTCAAGGGTTACCTTGAATTTCTGAAGTGAGAAAAATGACAGTAGTTTCGTTCTTATTTTGGGGATCACTTATGTTCCAACCTGAGTGCACAGGAAGCTCCCTTATCCATGTCTATCCCTTTATCTTTACTTCTGTATCTCTTCCACTTCTACCTGGCTTCCATGTCCAGCTCTTCCTGTTCCTCTACCTGTATCTCTATCTACACCTACTCGGTCTCTCTGTGTAGCACACACTTGGATTACGGTCCTGTTCCCAGATGGAAAAGAGAAACAACCAACTCATTCACTCTTTGCAGTAACTTAAATACATATTGCTATGGCCTCTGTCTCAGCTAAGATATTTAGCAATATCAAAAAGAAAAGACTCAAATAAAAAAGATAACCTCCCCTGAAGATGAAATTATGTTAAGGCTTTTTGTCTGTTTCTCTTCTTTCTAAAAAATGCTCAGTGGTCAGTTCACTTATACATCAAAAAGCTATCCAGAACTAGAGCTAAGATACATACGTAACCACCTCAGAACTCTGTGTTTATTTCCTCTACCTCCTTCCCCTGACTTCAAATGTGGTGCATGACTCTTTTTTCTTCCTCACTCTGATCACTATTAGTGCCAGGAATTCAGAATAGAGGCAGTTTTGAAGCAGATGCTACCAGAGGGACCTAACGTGGTTTCTACTCTTGAAACTTTAGACCTGATACTCAAATATTGGTTGTAACAGTCATCAGACTTATGACTTTATATGACTCTAAGGACTTTTTAAAGTCAGACAACCTTTCAGGATAAGAGCTTACTTACAATTCTAGCTTACTATAGCTTTGGACAATTTCTTCCCCCATAGCTTTCTAAGGATATAATTATAAATAATTGGCTCAAATTACTCTTAAAATCAAAAGAAGGGAAATTTCTCATTGTTTCTCAATATTGAGTCTTCCCTTCTTTCCTAGAATTTTAAAGAAGCACAACATTATATAAACTAGAGACTAATTTCTCTCTTTCCACGGCAAATGAAGTTTTGCCCAGGCATGAAAACAGACAGGGCTGTATAATTCCCAGGTAACAGCGGAAAACTGTTTACCTTTGTTCCCTCTTTCCCAAACTCATTAATAATATTTATGCAAATTGATGCATCCTAGGAATAAAGTCAGTAATGACTGTCCCCCTGTTCAACTTGTTTCCAAACTAAAGGGGTAAGTGATAGCTCAAAACAAGGCAAAAACAAAACAAGTAGAACAGACACACAAACGATGCCAGATGGGGTGATAGGAAAAGATGCCTTGTCCAGCTTGAGGTGCTCCAAACGTTTTCATTCATTGCTTTTATTCAATGACTTACTCAGGGGACAGTGAAAAACAAAAGTGCTAAGCAGTGCGTGGAAAAGAAGATGCACTGACCTCCCCCAACCCACCTCTCACGATACAGAAAAGCCAAATGCTTCCTGTGAGTCCAGTATTGGAAATGAGTTAGCTGAAAGCATTGTGTGAGCACCACATGTCCATAATGTGCTAAATGTTTTACATTACTGGCAGCTGCTATAACAAATTAACATAAATTTAGTAGCTTAAAACATCCTAAATTCATTATCTTACAGTTCTGGAGAACAGAAGGCCAGAAATGACTTTCACTGGGCTAAATTCCCAGCATCATTAGGGGTGAGTCCTTTCTGGAGTGTGAAGGGGAGAATCCACTCCACGACCTTTCGAGCTTCTTCGGGGAGCTAGCACTCCTTGGCTAACAGCCTCTACTTTTTTCCTCAGTGCCAGCAATGGCAGGGTGAATTCTTTCACACTGCAGCATTCTGATCTACTGTTCTGCCTCCCTTTTCAACTGCAAAGGAACTTTGTGATTACATTGGGTCCACGTGAAGAACTGGCTAATCTCTCCATCTCAAGGTCAGCGGATCAGTAACATCAATTTCATCGGCCACCTTAACTCCTCCTTGACCTGTAATATAACATATTTACAGGTTATGATGATCGGGACACAGATATCTGCATACCACACATGGAGAACTGTACTTAATCTTCAGGAGTCTCATAAATTTGTTCAAGTATTAGCTCCAGAAAAGGAAATGAGAAAATAAAAAGGTTAAACCCATAAAAGGCTAAACAGTATTTCTTAGTGATGGCCTAAATCTTACAGTGAACAACAGCCCTGGTTTGCCCAGGACTAATCAGTTGTTTTTGTTTTGTTTTGTTTTTTTTGTCTTTTTCCTTTTTATCGGTACCGGGGATTGAACTCACAACTGCCTGCTTATAAGGCAGGCACTTACACCACTGAGCTAAATCCCCAGTCCTAGACTAATCAGTTTTAACACTGAATCTTCCGTGCTAGAACCTCAGCCCTGGGCAAACTAGAAGTGGTTATTCATCATTTCTGAACCTTTAGCCCAAATCTTGATTACATTAATTTAGGAAAAGTTTATTCAGAATCTGGAGGTTATTAAATTCTATTGCAGTGGTCAGTACCTTCTGAGACAAGGGAATGTTAAAGACATGCTTCTTCCTCTGAATTAATTTTTCCAAAAAGTGAATTTTTGACAGGAAATGAATTTTCTAAAAACATTCAGGGATAATCCTAAGAGATCCATTGTTAAACAGGCCCTTGAAAGTAGATGCAAGAACATACTTGAGGTAGAAATGGAAGTTCTGTCATTTCTAAGTATGTATAACCCGTCAAGCAGTCTCCAAACATTGCTTATGAAAGACCCTTATTGCAGCTCCAGTAATTAATTAATTACTTAGAATTCACTAAAACTAGTGATGCCCCCGAAGCCGACACCAGGTCAAAGACTGATGTTCAAGTAGTTTAAGAGGTGATCGATCCTAAGAGGCCCTGCGTGGAGCTGGGGAAAGGTGAGAGCCGGGATGGAGACCAGCAAAAGCTCTGGGGGCAGCCGGGGCTGGACCCTTGGGACACCTGAGGGCACGTTATTCTCCTCCTGGAAGGCGAGGGAGCTGGAATGTTTGCACACCAGCTCACACGGACCCTGGCTATGGGCTGCTCCTGCAGGTACCAACCTCCTCCATTCTGGGCCCGCAGTAAGAGGCCCCCAGCAAGCACTGAAAGGGGGCTGAGTGATGGGCAGAGCCCTGACGGCTCAGCTGGAATCTGTCTATCAAAACCATAAGCTGAGTCTTCCCTCTTTCTGTACTTTCTACAGCTACAGCCCCACCCAAGCCCACAGAGAGTCCCCGGGGCCACTGAGCAGCAGCTACAAGCTCACAAGCTCTACTGCCTCTGCTCCTCCACCCAACGTGCGCAGAACAGCCCGGCTCATTTTCCCACAGTGTGAATCCAATTACGGCGCCTCCCTCTCACCAAAATGAGATTCTCGTCATCACCATAAAAGCCAGCTTCCTTGCAGCTTTCAAAACCTGACATGTTCTGTCGGCCCCTCTTCCCACCTCTCTGATCTCAGTCCCTAAATAAACTGTTCACTGCTCAGCTGCATATGCTAATCAGCCTTTCTGAGTGGGCCCATCTCAGTCTTGACTCTTTCATTCCTTCTATGGATTTCCCTGGAGAAGTTCTGCCTCTGATGCACTTAACCACTGACTAACCTAGCTACCCCCTCCCCGGTTACCATGGCCCCATCCCGCTTCTGACTATCTTCAGAGAATTTCGTGAGCCCTCCCATAACTTTTCATATGCTTTCATATTTATCTTTCTCCTCACTCCAAAACGTAAGCTTTTAACAGGAAAGGGGCTTGTCATTTCTTTTTCTTCTGTGGAATCCCAGTGAGTGAAGTTCTGCTTTCAAAATGGCTTTGGTGACATCTTGCTTAAATATTGTTAGAATGGAAATAAAGGGACAACTTGCAATTTTTTGTCCTTTACAGTAGACCTATGTATTGCTATGCATTGAAGTTATTCTGTTACAGAACTCATTCACACGTCGAAAAATAATCAAAACCAACAACTATCAATTTCCAGGGAATAAATTATTGCATTCTGAAAATCTAAACAGCTCTGTTTTAATAGGAAATTAATGCTATTACATTACCACATTGCATCACTTTCCTTGTTGACTAATTTAGGTGTTAGATTGCTTCTCATCTTATACAAAAAAATTAAAAGATGTTTGGGAGAAGTCAGCGAATTTTAAACAGGGAAAATGAAACATTGTGAGGCTTCCACTGTCAGGCTCAGAGTCCTCCAATGAGCCAACCCGCATTTCAGCCTTCCTTCCTTGTCTCTGTTCCTCCCCTCAGCCTCTCCCTGCTGGTTCTGAGCTCCTCTCCACTCCCTTTCTCCCTTCCCCTTCTCCTACCTTCCCCTCTTTCCTGTCCCCTCTCTCAAGTACCCTTTCTGGCCACTTCCCAGACACCTGCTAGGTCTTCATTCCATGCTCCTCACTCAGATCCTCCTTGGTAGAATGCAGCTAGCTTTCCTCACCGCAGTGGATACTGCAATGTATTTCCAAATCATCCTTCGCTCACTGTAGACGGTCAGAAGTGGAACATGACTGTTGATCACAGAATCCTCGGCACTCCAGTCCCACTCCCCTGGAGATCACAGCGTGGGCCACTGGGTGCACACCTTTCCGGAGAGCTCTTGTGCTTACACAGACACATGGGTGTTTACAGATGACAATAAAACACAATTGGGTTACACGTATTGGTCTGCGGTGTTCTTTTAATGGCTTTCTAATTTAGCATAGCCACTCTTCCAGTTATTATTTTGGATCCGATTTACTCTTTCAAAGGGTATGTAATACTGTACGAACATACAATTAATTCAACATTCTTCTACTCACTGACATTTAGTTTTTCTTTTGTTTATTTGCTTTGCCAACACTTCTAATTCACCAAGGGTATCTCTCCTCGGCTTCCTGACATCGCTTTTCCCTGTATACTTTTCCCCACAGCTCTCCATCCCCAAATCTGCCACCCGGTTTCCTTCTTTCCCTGTACTGCTAATTTCAACTCTGTGGCCTCTGTGCCACTGTTGGAAATAAGTCCTCAGACTCAAATAATTGGTGCAGGCAGTGAAGCACTCAGTCATCAAGAAATCCTGACTGGGCATTTTACTTCTGCAGAAGGGCACAAGCTCAAGGTAGCAGGCACACAGAACAGAGGAGGGCTGACCTTTCATTCCTACCCAGGAGGACAGCTGACCTTCAGATTCACTGGCTGAGTGGAAAGCCTTACGGTCTACCATAGTGGACGGACTCTTAGCACACCAAGTGTGCTAAGTTAGAGAGGGGTGGGGTTAGGGACACAAAGTCCTTGGTTCTTATTGTGAGGGAGGAGAGAGGCCATATGGGTTGGGATGGGCAGTTCTTGGTTCTTTATCTTGGCAACAGGCAGTGTTCCAGGAATAAGTACACAGTCACCATTTTTTGAAGCTCAGGATATTAGAGTGTGTGGTGTGGACAGAGAGTAGATGGGCAGGTCATTTAAACCCATAATGGAGTTGCCTTGGCCTTGTGCTCCGACAGAAAAGTCAAAGCCTGCTTCTCACACCACTACTCTTCAAAAACTCCTGGCCCTCCAGACAGCCACGTCTACACTTTCCAACTTTCCAACTCGGGAGTTTTCCTTTCCAGGGCATTCCCCTCACCTCACATCACATTTGAACCCTAGTTTCCCGAGTCCTTGTCTTCTTTGGCTCCTTGGACAAAGTTATTTTCTGATTCTTTTTGTGTATCCAGCGCTGTGGGAAGCAGCTGAGCTGGGGCTGGCTGGGTCGCATACTCAGGGCTGCGGCAAGGCCAGCCCTGGAACACCAGGCGCCCAGGCGAGACAGACAGACAGACACATGAGTGGTTAGTGGGCCCTTCCTCCCCTTCGGAGAGGAGTTTCCCCTGCTCCAACTCCTGCTGGCGGTGCGTGCCCTGCAGTTCTTAGGCAGCTCCTTTCTCCCTTCAGACCGCAGGCTCCACCTGACCTCAGCTTCCTGCATTCTGACTCCTGTCCTCATTTCTTCATCCTCCACCACCTTTTCCCTCCTTTCTGGCAATTTCCAGAGCTGTGCCGGAGGTGGCGGTTCCTCTGCTTGTCCCACATCATCTGTCTTTTTTACGTAGTTCTATTCCAGGCTCTCGTTTCTTCTCTTGCTACATAGCGCTTTCTTGGCCAGCATCAGTGGTACATGCCCATAATTCCAATGCTGGGCAGGCTGAGGCAGGAGGATCACCACGGGTTCAAGGCCATCCTGAGCTGCATGAACTATATGGGAGACCTGTCTCAAAAACCAAAAAGAAACAAACAAACAAAAAAAACTACCAACAAACAAACAAAACACAAAAACAAAACTACGTCTTACTTTTCCACAAATGGTTTCAAATATCAGCCAAACACTTACGACTTCGGCCTCCACATGTATTTGTAGACTGCACTCAACAGCCACCCAGGAGCACATGACACGCTCTGTGTGTATCCCTGAACTCGTGATCTCTCCCTTTCCGGAACTTGATGACCTCCCTGTATTTCATAATTCAATCCCATTTGCACCCATCTCTTATTTATGTAAGTTAAAACAAGTCAATCTTCAATTCCTTATTGCCCATTTTTCTATTTAGTTATAAAATCTGTTATTTCTCTGAAATATTCCGTTGTCACTAATCACACTCTAAAGATACCCTCATCAACCCTGCCTGAATTTTTACTGTTCCCAACTAACATCCCAGTGTTTAATCATATAAATTTAGAAACATTTTCTGTATGGTACTTAATTTTATTTTCTGATACAATCCATATGGATCCCTGTTTAAAAATCTTCAAATTCTTGTAATAACCACAGGATTTAAAAATGCATATGTAATATTTAATACACTGTAGTTTATTATATACATATAATATAACACACCCCATTTTGGCTAACTATGCCCCCAACTAACCCTGTCTCTCAGTCACCTGCCCAAGCTGGGGTCCTAATTTGTTCTGGGCTTTGCTCAGGTACTTTTCAGCTTACAATTCTCTCTTGCTTCTTCTTTCTGTTATAAACTTACTTTTGCTTATCAGTAAAACTATCTTCTTTGTAAATTCTCACTGAGCTTTCTTATCAATTATAGGCATACAAACTTCCTCCTTTGTGCATCTAAAACTCTTTGCTCTCCTCTCTCTTGTGTTGTCTGGTATTGCAATTAGTTGTTTCTGTATCTATCTTTCCCACAGTGAAACAAATTTCCCATCAAAACAGTTCGTGTCTTTCAGAATTTTGCATTGCATCACATCTGTGTCATGTAGAAAACACCAACAAATACGATTTGAGTTTATAAAGCTTGATAAAAAGCAGTGGAGTGGTGAGGTTCTCAATCTGTGTCTCTAATCTCCTGTTGATGACACTGCAGAGCAGAACACAGGCTATAAAACTAAGAAAACTCAGAACGATGCCTTTGTCTACAATTTTGTGCCAGTACTATAATTCTGGGGTTGAGATTTATCAGCAGTTTCACTAAGGTTGTGCTAGAAAGTTTCTCCCTTCCTCCCTCTTAGCTTCTAGAATTAGGAAAATGTTTAGGATAATTAAAGACTTCGTATAGGTACATGAAGTCATAAATGAGAAGGATGGAGACAGCACTCTCTTCTCTGGAGGAACTAGAATATTTTCAAGTTGGATTTGTAAAAATGTACTTAATTTTCATGGATTCCTCTGAGTATAGCACAGTACAAACAACACATGTATTGGTAGCTATTTATCCTTGAGTTAGCCCATCAGCAAGTGAAATCTATGAACCTCCAGTATGAGAATCTAGAAATTTCATTGTTAGAAATACTAATGTTAGCAAGAGGGACTATTTGTCATTTCTTTTCTTTCTTTTTGGCAGTGGTAGGGATGGAAATTAGGGCCTCACACATGCCAGGCAAGTGCCTTGCTCCTGAGCTGCTCCCCTCGTCCTTTGGATATTGTCTCTTAAATCTGTCTCACATTTAATTAGTGTTTCCACTCAGGGCACTTGTTTAGATTAATATCCTACAGTTCAAGTTTTCCCGATTGTTTAACCTTCTGGGTGGAATCATTCAGTCCATGCAAATGACACTGTGTGGGAGCTTACTTGGTACCACATATTAAAGATAATGATCTTGGAAAAGAAACTGAGAAAGAGCCAGTATTCTCCCTCAGGTTCCCTAGGTATTACCAAAGAGTTCAAAAAACCTGAAGAACAACTAGGTATATACAGTAGGAAAACCTCTGAAGTCAAGCAAACTCAGTTTATATCCACACTCCACTGTGTGTGATTTCAGGCAAATCACGTGATCTCTCTGAGATACCTTAATCTTTTTTTTTTTTTTTTTTTGGTCTTTTTCCTTTTTATCGGTATCGGGGATTGAACTCACAACTGCCTGCTTGCAAGGCAAGCGCTTATGCCGCTGAGCTAAATTCCCAGCCCTGATACCTTAATCTTTTTCTATGACATAGGTAGATACCTTAATCTTTACAATAGCGTGAATACTACCTATGTCATAGAAAGATGAGATAAGTAAATAATAGTGAGAAGCATTAACATAGTGCTTACTATATGCTAATCCAATTTTCACACTGTAAAAACCAGCTATGCACAGAACGGCTTGCTCACAAATCAAAGGAAGTTATAACATAGTCTTAGAGTCAAAGAAAATTCACAAGGCAGAGATAAAGTGCTGTGACAACCTAGTAATAAGTTAGATGTCATAATATAAACTTTGTATATTGAATTAATTTTTATTTAGCAAATAGTAGATGACCTTGATGAATCTTGCTTTAAACAAGGTTCATGAAGAGTCTGTTTTATTTTATTGGAAAAAATGCTGTTCTAAAAAAGATTCTTTGACTTTGGGTCTATATTCACATTGTAAAAAGTTTTCAGCATTTTCGTAGAAACGTGTTTGGATATGCTGATGAATGGCAACTAACACAAATTCATGGGAGCAAAACTTAAAAAAGGTTTTTAACTGTTAATCTAAACATTGTATGTATGTTATTGTAAAGATTAAGGTATCTCAGGGGTCAAGTGACTTGCTTTAGAATTTTGAGATGTTTTAAATATAAAAGCCATGTTTATTAAATAGCTTGACTATCAATTTTTAATTTTACAACAAACAAATCACTGAGTCATGAGTTTAAAGAAATCTATATGATTATTTTCATTGTTTCATGTTCATTTTCTTTTGAATTTTTTTGCTGTACTATTTTACCCTACAAAACATACAACAGGGAGCTGCCCCACCAACCACACATTTTGGTGATTATCTAAATAACTAATGGAATTATACAAATTTTTCAACGAGCACTTCCTGAAATTGAAATATTCAGCTTCATTCCCATCTCTGCAAACTAATGGCTTGGAAAAGTTTGTTATTTATTTTAAATCTGTAAATTTTATGCACAGGAACATAGAACTTGGATTATCTTTTGATATTTTGTGATTCAATAGAAAGGTACTTTTAGTTAGAATATTTTCTCCCAATTATAAATACATATAATTCTGGTCAAAAAAATACTAAAGACATCAAATGTCAAAGGTTGTTTCTGCATAAAGCACTCTCTGAAGTGTTACCTCTGTCTCCGTTGTGTACTGTTTTAGTTCCACTGACCCCATTTCCCCTGCTCCTGGGATTATGTCCTGAGCAGTGCTGCCCGGTTCTCTGCCATGAAATGCAGCGTGCTCTCCAACGCAGGTTCCAGCAGCGAGATGCTGCCACTTGGAAAACAGCGTTAGTGTGACTCCCGAGCTGAAGTTTTAGTTTAATTTTGACTAAATAGCTGCCGACAGCTGATGACTGCTATGAGAGCACAGGTGTAGAAGCAGGTTGAAACAGCCATCACGGTAAACAAAGTATGAGTCCCGTGTCCTGATGTCCCATTTCTTTCTCAAACTCCACTCAATTCTCATCCTTAGTAGGATTCCAGTCCAGTCTCATTTTCTGTGTGAAGCTGTTACTGACACTCTTGTCTACATGGACATCTTTCTTGCCTGAACTCCTATGGGCTTAATTATATATAGGAAATCAGGAATTTAGTGTTGATCATACATTGTGATTTAACTTTTATATAAGTTTCAGCATTTAAATTACAACTTATAGTACCATCTTCTATTCACTGAAAAGCTGTGATGATGTTTTACATGTGTCTTACTTAATCTGTATAACACATCTATAAGTACAAGTTAAAACTTCCATTTTACCTAGAATGAAGCTGCCTCAGAGAGATGAAACACTTGTCCTGTAGCTAGGGAGTCGTATAGCCAGAGTGTGAACCAGAAGACTCAAATGAGACACGCTGGTGGCACCTGATTACTGGCAGCCACCAATAAACCTAAGGAAACCACTCTGTAAGTATTACAGCTTGGTGTAAGTAAAAGATTATGACACCCTCCATGTCCTTAGAGTGAAGCAATCTCCCATAGTCCTACAGCTCAAGGGCAGGTACACCCTTTTCTAAAGACCAGCTGCTCCCTCTAGAGAGAGTCACTGGGAATACCATGCCTAAAAAAGCATTTTTAAATGAAGATGTATTTCTTAAAAAGCAAGAAATTAGTATTGTGGTACTCAAGGGGAGCATTTCCTGTATCTTTTCCGGAAATTAAACAGGGTTGGCTTGCTATTTCAGAAAACCTCGCAACCAATGAACTACAAGTGAGACATATCTGTGTTAGCCTCCATATGCAGTGAGGTGTAACTTTCTAAGTCCTTTAAGACCTTGGTTTGGGAGATTTGCTCTGCTCATCATCCAGAGCTTTTGTTTATGGAAGTGGCAAAGCAGTCAAAAGCAGCTGCGATCACGTGACGCTGGTGTGACACACTACTTATACTGCAGTGCTCACTCATTTACCAGGTTAAGATTTGTTGGAAATGTCTGCTCGTGTGGTGGAACACTCCCAGAGAACATTACTTGCAATCCAGGGTTTGAGTGTACTTTGCCGTTTCTGATAGTGTAGGCATGTTAATGCCATTACATAGTGATACAAAAACTAGGTTATTTTATTATTTGTAGACTTGCCACTATTTTGAGTGTTTCTATTTATGTGCGAAGGTGGGTTATATTATGTCTGCACTTCATTTCGGGAAAGCAAGGACTTAGAAATACAGTCATAAAAAGGTAGCATTTAGTCTGAGATGGTTGAAAAATAATACATTTGGGGGTGATATATAACTGCTTTTTTCTCTTTCTTTTTTATTTTAAAGGGAAAAAAGCCCAAACTTTCAAAACAAGACAATTAAGAGGGTAACAATGGTTAAAACACTGTGTATTGTTATCTTTAAATTTGTTACTCAGAGTACAAGATATCTGATTTTAATTGTCCAAATAATATTAATACAAGTCTTTCTTTTCAATGAATTAAGAGAAATTGGTAGTATAACTATCTTAGCTATTATATATGTATATAATTTCTTTTAGCTTCTCACACTAGGGAGACAGTATGATGTTTACACATGTGGGTTTGATTCACTTCACTTACGAGTATGGTGTGAGAACATATTTTATATTCCAAGTAAGTTTTCTATAATATAGCCCTTCCCTTTGTCCCCTTTATACTTAACTGGAGGTGGAGAGGAGTGAATTGGGGATCTTGGCACGAAATGCAGCCAGGCTATTTACTGATTCTCCCTGCTTCTCTGAATTTTGCTCAAAGATTTTAACTCTTCCTAGTTAGGATTTTCCAGAAACCTCACCAAGGCCCTTATCTTTCCCTGCCTGCCCCCCAGTTTCCCCTGTACTCTCCCAAAGTCCCTGAGCAACTCAAGTTCAGGCCAGGAAAGGCACAGGGCCTGCATTCTGCAGGGGCCCAGGCTTCGCAGGATCTGAGAGCTGAGCAGTGGTGGAGCATCTGCCTTGTCGCCTGCTTTCCGAGGAAGCCAGCGGTCTGACTGCTTCCCTATTTACTAATTCTTGGCTTGGACAGTTGCAACATACCGGGGTGTATAGATGGGGTCCTCTGAGCAGAGGAGTCACTTTACAGACTTACAGGAGGAAGGTGACTTGTGGACTCCATGCAAAGTGGATCCTGGAAATAAACCACTTATTTGGAATACATAGGAGTTTTCTTCCCTTCCTTTGACTACATTTTTTTTCTCTATTGATTTTTTGGGGGGAATTTTGGAGTTTCACCTTCTGTGTTCTGTTTCCAAATTTACATTATCTTATTTATTTTATTAGGTCCTCTTTATTCTCTTTTTTCGTCCCGTTTTAATTTGTCCCTTATTATTTTTTTCTACTTTTCCTTTAGTCTCTATTTTTTATTTTTCTCTTTGTTGGCCTTTTCCTGGTTCTTTTATCTAATACTACTAATTTTCTTTTACTCCTCAGTTCAGGTTCGCAATTCCCACTACCTCTATGCTTACGCAAATAATTCTTAGGTTTAAGAGTCTATAGATAGTTAAACATATCTTACTATGGTTGAAAACTGTTCTATTGTTCATAGAGGCAAAACTTTTATTTGAGTAATACTTACTAGAGAACACTATTTGGTTGGTCTTAGTATTTACACTGTAATTATAGATCTCCTTTCTATGGATGAGCAGGTACATTATTGTTCTTAGGGTATGCCAATATCTAGTTTGTATTTAGCATTCTCTTTACTACTTTTGCCAAAGTGACACAGTTATTGCTACCAACTGGCTTTCTCTGCAAGCCAATATGTGGACTGCCTTACTGCCCATTTTTGAAGGGTAGAAGGCCAAACAAAATGCGACCTCCCCTCACAAATAAACAGAAGCAGTTGGGTTTGGGGACAGAGACGAAGTCCAATAGTTATCCCCAGAGGTCAACTGTGAAAAGTAGACATTAACTAAATGTCTAGTATGAAGAACTAGAAACAGAGTGACCGATTATCATCAGTCTGTAAGCCTCAACACAGAAAACAAGCAAACCAACAAAGATAAAATAAAAATATCAAAAACAAAGCAAAACATGCCTTCAAAAACTCCCAATTCCCTCAAAGCCAATTTAGTGTATAACAACGGTGGTGGTGGGGGTGGAATCAAAAGTCACAAAAATGAAATATCTAAAAGCATAATGGCAGAAGTAATAGAACAGAGCAATAAAGTGTTTGGCCAAATCAAGGAATCTATAATTAAACAGATAATTATTGTAATGAAGGAAATGACCAGGGAGTCTAGAGAAGACACTAATAAAATCTAGCAGAGATAAAGAAAGAGAGGTAAATCATGAATGCTCAGCACAGAAAAGATTGAGTCCATAAAAAAATTTCAAAGAGAAATAAAAGAGATTAAAAATTCTATTGAAAGTATAGATAGCTAAATTGACCCGTGTGGGGAGAGAATGTCAGAGCTAGAAGACAGGGCTGTGGTTGGTGATCAATTAATGAGTAAAAACAATAAGAGAACATGAAAAATGGATCCAACAGCTGCTGGGTGATGCAAAGAAGACTAAGAATAATTCGAATTAATGAAAAACAAGAAGATGGAAAAAAGGGCATTAAAAATTCTGTTTATTAGAAGTAATAGCAGAAAACTTTTCAGACATATAAAAAGAATTTCACATTCAGATCAGAGCGGCATATAGAATGCCAATCAGAAAAGACCCACCCCAAGACAAATCATAATCAAAATATCAGACATTCAGCACAAGCAAAGGTTCTGAAAAGCTGTTAGAGAAAAGGAAAAAAATCACTTAAAAAGGAAAACCCATCAGAATTACAGAAGACTTCTCAATAAATTCCTTAAAGTCAAGGAAAGGCTGAAGAAAAGTATTTCAAGTTCTAAAAGAAAACAATTTCCAACTCAGACTGATACAATCCTAGCAAATTATCTTTCAAAACTGATGGAGAAATAAGATATTTTTATAATAAGGAGGCGCTAAAGAAATTCATGACCTTTAAGCAAGCGTGCACCATCAGTTTCAGAGGCTAGGTGGCCTGGGGTGAGTGCCCCCCCCCACCTTCCCCTAAGCCCAGTTAGTTTGGGATCCTCGCTTGGCCAGGACAGGGAACTTCACGGCTTCCTGTTGCACTAGACCAGCTGGGCGGGTCTTGAGCTGGCCTGCCCCACCCCCAGTGACCCTCTCTCAGTCCAGGGAACTGGGTGGCCAGAGTCCCAGGAGCTGAGGGCATAGAAGAGGATTTCCAACAGACCCTGGGGGAGCCTTGGAATAACACCTAAAACACAGAAATATAGGAAAATGACAAAACAAAAGACCAAATTACAATCTCAAACCTCCAGCCCATGCCAAGAAACCTTAGGAGTTATGTACATAGAAGAAAATATATGCCATACACCTGAAATATCAGACATAATAGCAACTAAAATAAAGAAGCAACTCTGGGAAGCTTTAGAGGAATTCAAACTAGAAATTTTTTTAAAAAAATCTTCATAAATTATAAAATTTCTAGGGCTATCGTGATTGCTGTTTCTTCCTCAAATAATAAAGCTATAAAATATATAACGAAACATTATCCACTTCTTTTTTTAAAGGGACTAAAATTAAACACAACAAAACAGAACAAAATAAGACATAAGAAAGCAATGTAAGAGATATAAATTTCAAAGCTAGATGACCTGAGATCTTCACTGTCTATCATATTGTCTCTTGTTTTCTTCCAAATAGTTGTCCATGTCTTCACATACAGAGAATTCATACAAAACAACATAGTATAAAACTGATCAGAACAGAATGAGGAAGGCATTTTACGTCTTCAAAACCAGACAATAGGAAGTCACTAATGGCTGTTGTAGAGTCTCTCGTTCTCTTCAAAATAGCTGTCCATACTTTCATGTATATTGAAATTCAACAAAACAAAACAGGCTAAAATAACACCATTAATTAGAACAAAGCAAAACAAGGATAAAAGTATTTGCCTTCAAAGAGATGGTAGAAGGAAATTCCCCCTATTTGCTACATTGCCTATGGCCAACCTCTCAAGGGATGTCCAGATCACTGCCTCCCGCTTGCTAAGGGGAGAGGGGTGTGACATGATGTTTGATTCTCAATTTGTGCACCAGCATGCTCACAGCCACTCATGGTGTGTGTGTGTGGGGGTTGCTTGGTTTCCTGGTGCTCCAGGACTTAAACTTATAAGACAGATTGTGAGAGCCAATATCTGATACAAAAAAAACTCAAGAGAGATATTTCAGTCTTTATGCTTTTGCTAGCTACTTACCATGTATATGGTAGAGTCACACCCACCTGAAAACTTAACACATGTGCCAGAAAGAAACTACCACACCTCAAATGAGAAATAATCTCCCAGGTAAAAGAAGAAATGATAAAAGAAATGAAGGAGATGCTGAACATATCTAAAGAAGACACAATTAAAAAATTGGAGGAACTAAACAAAAAGATAGAAACCCTGGATGAACAATATAAGAAACAGAATACACAAAGCAGATGCAAAGAGATATACAAAAAATCAAAACTTTCATGGAAAGCTGTAAAAACTGCCTCAATGAAAGTGAAGATAGAATTTTAGACCTCAAAGACAAGGTTGAAGCTAGTGAACCGGAAAGGAAAGATCTTTTAAAAATAACAAGAAATCAGAAAATAACAATTCAACAAATGCAAGATGACGCAAAGAAAAACAACATATATTGATAGGGATAAATGAAAAAGAAGGGGACAACATAATGGATTTCAAGAGGATATTTAGAGAAGTAATAGCTGAAAATTTCCCAAACATGAGATTGGAAACCAACATCAGGATCAGTGAAGAGTATAGAACTTCAAATAAGCCCAAAATAAAACTACACCCAGACATATAATAATCACCATCCCAGAAATCCAACATGAGAATAGAATATTAAAAGCTATTAGAGAGAAAAGAAAGATCAGTTATAAAGGAAAACCTATCAGGGTCACAGCAGACTTCTCAGCACAAATAATGAAGTGAAGAAGAGCATGGATGGGGCTGGGGATTTAGCTCAATGGCATAAACACCTGCCTTGCAAGCAGGTGGTTGTGAGTTTGATCCTCGGTACCAATAAAAATGAAAAAGACAAAAAAAAATAGCATGGAGTGAAGTATTTCAGATCCCAAAGGAAAATGATTTCTGACCTAGACTGATGTACCCTGAAAAACTGTCCTTCAAAATGGATGGAGAAATAAGATACTTCTATGATAAAGAACAGCTGAAGAACTTCATGATCACCAAGCCAACCCTGCAAAGAATACTGAAAGACAGTTTAGATAAACTTAGGAAAAAATCACTAAGCAAAGTAGACAACTAAACAGAACAGAAAGATAACATGTCAACGATAAACCAACATATAACAGTTATAACCATTAATGTAAATGGTCTCAATGCACCAATTAAAAGAAACAGACTGGCAGAATGGATCAAAAAACAAAATCCAACCATATGTTGTCTACAAGAAACCCATCTAACACAAAAGGATACTCACAGACTGAAAGTCAAAGGATGGAAAACAATACTTCATGCAATAGGAATTTTTTAAAAAAGCGGGGGTAGCTATTCTGTTTGCAGACAATGTGAACTTTAAACCAATAATGACCAGAAGAGATAAAGAAGGTCACTACATAATGGTTAGGGGAAAACTTCAAGACAAAGAGATAACTATATTAAATATTTATGCACCAAATTCCAGAGCACCCAGTTATATAAAACAAATATTAACAGAAATGAAAAACCAAATTAGCAGTAACACAATTATAACGGGAGACCTTAACACACCATTGACACCAAGGGACAGATCAACCAGACAGAAAATCAGCAAAGAAATAACAGAGCTGAATCACACCTGTGAACAAATGGACTTGATAGACATATACAGAGTGTTCCATCCAACAACATCAGAATACACATTCTTCTCAGCAGTACATGGGTCATTCTCTAAAACAGACCATATATTAGCTCACAGAACATATTTAAATAAGTGCAAAAGAGTTGAAATTATCCCTTGCATGTTATCAGATCATAGCGCTATGAAATTAGAAATTAATGATAAAAGATATTGCAAAAATCCCACAAACACATGGAAACTGAATAACACACTCTTGAGTAATCAGTGGGTCACAGGGGGAAATTAAAGAAGAATTAAACAATACCTACAAACAAACAAAAATACAAATACAACTTACTGGAATCTGTGGGATGCAATGAAAGCTGTCCTCAGAGGAAAATTTATTGCACTGAATTCCCACATCAGGAAAACAGAACGAATACGAATCAATAACCTGATGTTACACCTCAAACATCTAGAAAAAGAAGAGCATGTCAAGCCCAAAGCCAAAAGAAGAGAGGAAATTATAAAAATCAGAGCAGAAATCAATGCAATCGAGACTAAGAAAACAATCCAAAGAATCAATGAATCAAAGAGTTGGTTCTTTGAAAGAATAAATAAAGTTGATAAGCCCCTAGCCAACCTTATTTAAAAAAGGGAAGAAAAAGCTCAAATTCATGCAGTAAGAAATGAAAAAGGCGAAATCACTACAGATTCTATAGAAATACAGAAGATAATCAACATCTGTTTCGAAAACCTCTACTCTCAAAGATTTGATAACACAGAAGAAATAGGTTCCTAAAAACATATGAAGTACCAAAGCTAGGTCAAGAAGATGTAAAACTGCTGAATAACCCAATTTCCATTAATGAAACTGAAAATGTAATTAAGTCAATACCTACAAAGATGAGCCCAGGCCCCGATAGATTCACTGCGGAATTCTACAAGAAGTACAAAGAAGACTTAATGCCAATATTCCTCAAACTCTTCAATGAAATTGAAAGGGAAGCAATCCTTCCCAAGTCATTCCTGGAAGCAAATATTACTCTAGTACCAAAACCTGAGAAAGACCCAACTAAAAAAGAGAACTACAGACCAATCTCCCTAATGAACACAGATGCAAAAATCCTCAATAAAATATTGGCAAATAGGATGCAGCAAGTCATCAACAATATTATACACCATGACCAAGTGGGATTCATCCCAGGCATGAAGGGATGGTTCAACATATGTAAATCAATAAATGTAATCCACCATATCAATAAAGCCAAAAGTAAGAATCACATGATCATTTCTATAGATGCAGAAAAAGCTTTTAATAAGGTCCAACATTCATTTATGATAAGAACCTTACAGAAAACTGGAATAGATTTTCTTTACCTAAATATAATAAAGGCCATCTACAACAAACCAACAGCCAGTATCATATTAAATGGCCAACATTTGAAGGCCTTTACTTTAAAATCAGGCACAAGACAAGGATGTCCCTTATCACTGCTCCTATTTAATATAGTACTGGAAATACTAGCCAAAGCAATTAGACAACAGAGAAAAATAAAAAAGGTAAAGATAGGAAAAGAAGAAGTTAAATTATCATTATTTGCAGATGACATGATACTCTACATGGAAGATCCCCAAAACTTCACTGAAAGACTCTTAGATATAATAAATAAATTCAGCAATATAGCTGGATACAAAATCAATACTCAAAAATAAATACCATTCCTATACAACTAACAACAAAATCACCAACAGAGAAATAAGAGAAGCCACACCCTTCATACTAGCAACCAAAAAAATGAGATATTTAGGAATTATTCTCACGAAAGAAGTGAAAGACCTATACAGGGAAAATTATAATATACTGAAAAAAGAAATTGAAGACGATCTCAGAAAATGGAAAGACATCCTTTGCTCATGGATAGGAAGAATAAATATTATGAAAATGGCCCTTCTCCCAAAACTGTTATACAGATTCAATGCAATCCCAATAAAAATAGCATCAACATACCTCATAGATCTCGAAAGATCAATCCTAAAATTCATCTGGAGTGAGAAGAGACCCCGAATAGCAAAGACAGTTCTAAGCAACAAAGGCAAGGCAGGAGGCATCACAATCCCTGACTTTAAGTTATACTACAAAGCAACTGTAGCAAATCAACATGGTACTGGAATCAAAACAGAGCCGAAGATCAGGGAATAGATTAGAAGATACAACCACAACTACAAACACACTCAACTACCTTATCTTTGATAAAGGGGCCAAACGTGTTCACTGGAAGAATGACAGTTTCTTTAATAAATGGTGTTAGAAAATCTGGCTCTCCAAATGCCAAAAACTAAAACTAGACCCATGCCTACCACCATGTACTAAAATAAAATCTAAATGGATCGACGATCTGAATATTAAAACAGAAACACTAAATCTATTGGAAGACAAATTGGGTAAAAACCTTGAAGACATAGGGATAGAGAATTCCTGAACAGCAATCAAACTGCACAGGATATACCTCCCAGAATCAATAACTGGGATCACCGCTTATTAAAAAGTTTCCACACGTCAAAAGAAATCTCCAGCGTAATGAAAAGAAAACTCACAAACTGGGAAAAAATCTTAGTGAACTCTTCCTCAGACAAAGGACTTCTGTCTAAATATATAAAGAATTCAGAAAAATTAGACCCTCAAAATTCAAAGATCCAGTCCAAAAATGGGCATCTGAGATGAATACGCACTTCTCAGATGAAGAGATACAAATGGAAAATAAATACATGAAAAAATGTTCATTGTCATTAGTTATTAGAGAAATGCAAATTAAAACCAAACTGAGATTTCATCTCACTCCTGAAAGAATGGCCAGGATCAAGAAAACCACCAACAACAAATGATGGAGAGGCTGCGGGGAAAAAGGAACTCTCCTATACTGTTGGTTGGAGTGTAGACTGGTGCAACCATTGTGCAGGTCAGTCTGGAGATTTCTCAAAAAGCTGGGATTGGAAGTCCCATTTGTTCCAGCTATTCCACTGTTAAACATATTCCCAGAAGAACTGAGAGCATCATATCACAGTGATATATGTACACCCATGTTTATAGCAGCACAATTTGTAATAGCTAGATCTTGCAAACAACCTAAGTGTCCATCAACTGAGGAATGGATAAAAAAGTTGTGGTATTTTTATACAATGGAGTACTACTCAGCTATAAAGAAGGATCACATTGAGATATTTATAAATAAATGGGTACATCTTGAGACCATACTCATAAGTGAAATTAATCAAACTCATATATATGAATACCAAATAGTTTCCTAGGGTAAAAAATGATATAAATACATAAAATTACGTGGTAATCATGATTCCCCATTATATTGCTTTGAAGCCTTATAATGTTTCCACTCATTAGTTGGAATGGTTTTATTCTGGGCTATTTGATTTTATTGTCTGTGATGGTATGGACAGATATTTTGAAGAAAAGACATCATAATAGCTAGTGTTGATTTAATATCTTGTTTTGAAGTCCCATCAAACTGTTTTTCTTCTGTCTCCATTGGTTTTATCATGTTGTATCTTATTGGATTTTATCATATGTGACAGTATAAGCAAAATTTTTTATAGGCAAAGAGATAATACAGAAACCATTGTTCATTTTCTGTTAGCTGGTTCCAAATATCCTGTAATACTTTTATCCTCTTGAATGGTTTCACATTGTCTTGATACGTTTGATGCTACAGCATATGAAATTATACTCAAATATTTCAAGGAAAGAGCCATTATGGTAACTACTATTAAGTCAGATTATCTTGTGAAATACTATGTTGCTTAAATTGTTCTGTTCTGACCTGTGTTGTTATGTCCTCTTTTATCTCAATCTCCCCCTTTTAAAAAAGATTTTATTTATTATTTTTTAATTAAGGGAAAAATAAATTAAAAAATTAGGATATATTATAGTAATTTTTGATTTCCTGTTAACTTGATTTGAAGTCCTGTATTGCTTTCATCATCTTGTTTTGGCTGATTTTACTCTATTCTGTTTTGTTTCATAGTATCAATTTTGAGGGTATGGGTAGCTACTTAGAAGGCAGTAAGATTCACTATGATGCCCATTCTGGTTTGACTATTATCTTCTTTTGAAGTCCTGTCATGTCTCCAATGTTTCGGTTTTATTAGTTTTGTTCTGTACTCTTTTGTTCGATTTTATTATACCTGATGATATAGGCAATTCTTTTTAAGATAACAAGAGGCATTATGGTAATCATTGTTGGTAATCACCTTGGTACCATAGGTAATTACCTATGGTAATCATTATGGTAATCACCTTGTATTCTGTTTTTACATTATGTACTATGTCCATCCTTTGTTTTGACTGACTCTACTTTGTTTTGTCACATTTGGTTTATTCTCTTCCAAAAAAAAGTAACAAGAACTGTGAGAGTAATAAAACCCAAAATGTGTAATTGTTGTTGTAAAAAGAAAGGAAAAGAAAGTGCTCTAAAGGATACAAATGCAAGTGCATTTAGGTGTGTAAGACAGATGACCATATTACTAAGTTTTTGTTGGATCATTGAACACAACTGTCTACAGTCTTATTGTTTGAATGTCCACTTTGTATACTTTAATTTTGTAACTTGAACAACTATTTCTAAGATGACAATATGTAATCTATTAACTATTGATTTCTTACTGTTTATTTTTTTGAAATTCTGTATTACTTGTACCCTTTTACTGTTTTGTTTCTTTTCTCTTTAAATAAAATTTTTAAAAAAGAAACCATGACCAACAAACTAGCACTCCAAAAAATTCTAAAGGATATCTTAGAAAGAGACAATGAAGCCAACAATGACAAAAGGCCCAACAGAATTAATGTACAAAGCAAGCAGGAGGTGCTATCCATTTTCAGAAAAACTGGACTTTAAGCCAAAAACTAATAAAAAGAGGCAAAGAAGGTCACTATATATTGTTTAAGGTAATCATTCAACAGAAAGACCTAACAATGACAAATATGTATGCACCAAACAACAGGGCATGCAACTTCATGAAACAAACACTGCTAGAAATAAAAAGATCAGATAAACATCAATATGATTAGAATGGGGGACTTTAGTACCCTATTATCACAAATAGATTAATGAAACAAAAAAATCAGGAACAAAAATTCACCAAACCAAACCTTTGAACAAATTTATATTGAGAGAGTATTCCACCCCACAGCACATTCTTATTGGCAGCACATGGAGCTTTCTTCAGAACAGACTTCCTATTAAGAATAAAGTATGATTAGGCAAATGCAAAGTAATTGAAATTTTACCATGCATATTATCAAATCATTAAGTAATGAAAGTGGAAATCAATGGCAAAAGAAACTACAGAAATTATGTACATGCACGGAAACTGAGCAACACAGTCTGAAATAATCAATGGATCACAAGGGAAATTAAAAAAGAAATAAGGCAGTTTTCAGAATTGAATTGTTATGCCAGTACAACAGACCAAAACTTATAGGACATGATGAAAACAGTTCTAAGAAGTGTGAATGCCCCCATTGGCAAAACAGAGCGAGCCTAATATATATAACCTAATGATAGACCTTAAAATTCTAGAGAAACAAGAACAATCCAAAACCAGAATTAGTACAAGGAAGAAAAGTATACAGATGAGAGCAGAAGTTGATTAAATGGAGATCCTCCCTAAAAGAAACGAACAAAAATTTACAAAGAATCAATGAGTTGAAGTGGTTCTTAAAAAAAAAAAAAAAAAAAAAAAGAAAACCCTCAGCCAATCTTAACAAAATAGAAAGAAAAGACACAAATCAGTGCAGTTAGAAATGAAGAGGGTGAAAACACAATGGACACTGCAGAAGTCCAGAATATGATCACTCACCATTTCACAAACTTTCATCAACCTTCACCAACACACTGGAGAATGCAGAAGAATAATGATCCCTAGATACACATGAGTTATAAAAACTTCACTCACAAGACTTAAAAATCCTGAATAATCCAATAATAGGTAATAAAATTGAAGTAGGAAGGAAAAACTTACTAAGAAAAGCTCAGAATCTGATGGATTCACTGCTGAGTTTTACCAGACTTCATGGAAGATCTAAGGCCGGAAGGAGTACTCCCACAATTGTTCTTAAACTCATTACCCTGTTTCTAGAATCAGATGAGCCTTGGTAAAGATGGAAATTTGAGAATTTTGGTAAGCAAAGATTCTTTTAAGAAAGATAGGGCACTGGATATGTTTATCTATTTTTTCTTTTAAAATCCTTGCTTTTCATTGATCTCCTCCAAGTACTTACTTAAAACCAACCATAACCTGAATTCTCTGTCATCTGTAACAGAGTTATAACCAGAATCAAATCTGATTTTTGAGTAATTAAAATTAGAAAAATTTTAGTTTTTCCTCATTTTCTATATATAGTTAGTCAAATATCCCATGTTACAGCTTTTCAAATGTATTGAAATGGAAAGATGCTCACCCAAATATGGTGATTTTCTCAACGTTTGTCATGCAGTGTGACCATTCAAATGTAAATTATTTGTAAAGACAAAATTATTTCTGTGGATTTCCTATGCTTTTAGAAGCTCTGAAACATATATAAAGTTTATTTTTCTGATTTTGTTATATATCATGTGTCCTCTTGCAGTTCCATCTTAATTTCTTGGATGGTACATTTTGGTTTTAATTTTGCTTTTCTGTGTATTTCTTAAAATGTTTCTGATTTTGATATCCAAAGAGAGACTCGAGCTGTAGTAATTCACAGCTGTTGGGAAAGAGCTGTTGTCAGAAACAACCTGAGCCTTGCATAAATGCCACTGAACTTACTCCATGCTATATGCATTTCATATTGCATCGGTAATAATATTAACACACATGTAACAGGCTAAGTGATAGAAATTCAATATCTTAGAGTTCTGGAAATAAAATCATCAAGGTTTTCCGTTGAGAGCTTTAAGGAGGAATCCACTTTCCTACTTTTCCAGGTTCTAGAGCCTGTCTTCATTCCTAGGGTCTTGGTCCTTTCTTCATTTCCAACTAGAAATTTCACTTTCACTTTTCGTCTACCCTCCCCTTTGTGTTTCTGCTTCATTAGCCTGATTCAAGATCCTGGGAAACACTGGTTTTTGCTTGTAGCCCCAAACCTTATATAAATACTTTTTGCTTCCTACAAGCTTTGGAAAATGGTACCTACGATTAAAATCTCTGCTTCCTCCTGGGTTGCTAACATCCTCGATAAAGACTACTTTCTCCCCAACACTCCTCTTAGGCACTGATTTTTCTGCAGAATGAACAGTCAACAAACGAAAATACCGTCCCTTTTAAATAAACTCTAACAGCTGATTGCCATGGTTAGGTATTTCATTAGAGCCAAATTTTCTACTTTGCAGAACTAAAGGCATTAATAAATTAATAGATTATAGAGCTGGACATACCTGTCATTTCTTATGTGCAGCGAAGAGGGGCGAAGCTTGACTTACCAAACTGACCCTGGTTTAATTCCTGCCGATATTATGCACCACAGGTTCTTATTTGATGCAGATGGTAAATTGAAATAAGTAAAACTTTAGTAGTAAAACCCAGTAATGTCGAAAGCTGCGTGATACTTTTACATTACTACTATTTAAGGGAACTATCTCGCTATTCATCTCAGTTAGAAACAGACTTGCTCCCAGCTATATGGAGTAAAAGAGAACACATTTACCTTCCTGCCAGAAACACTGAAACCCAGGGAAATGTCTGATTTCAGCAACGGACAGCAAACAGTGTAAGGGATATGAAATCTACAATTGCTCCAGCCAACAAGCTGGAGGAAGTTTACAGAAACATTTCAATCAGGGTCGTCAAACCAAAACAGTATTTACTGTTTTTAATGGGGTGAGCTGCAATTATTTACTTAAATACCGTACAACATATAATAGTCGCACCGGTCACATTCGAGGAAGTAGAATTCCCTGGTTTAATAGGCAGCGGCGGAACCAATCCCGAGGTTCAGCCAGTTCTCGCGAGACTGTAAAATCTGCAGTGTTGACGTCACCGCCCCGGAGACGCAAGCGAGGGTGGCTGTGGTTGGTGCAGGCGGTGCTTTCCTGCGGGCACGTTCTCTTGACGTCATCGCGCCGGAGACTCTTGCGAGCGCCTCAGGATCTCCGTCCAGCGAGCTCCCGAGAGGAAAAAAGTATTTTCCTGCTGTTGACAACAGTGTCCCGGACAAGTCGAGAAGACCCCTCTCCTCCAGACCTGCAGCCTGAGCATTGCTGGCCGCAGTCCACGCCCTTGGAGACCCAGACCGGTGCCTGACGCTCGGTGGGGAAACGCAGGTGACGCCAGTGATGGCGGAGACCGGTGAGGGAGGCAAGGAGCAGCCCCAGCTGTCTGGGGAGGCAGGCGCCCCCAACGACCCCACGGACCGGGGCCGTGTTGTCTGGGCCCGAATCGACGGGGGTCGTGGTCACGCAGAGGCCACGGTCCAGCAAAAGAAGGCGCCGCTTCCCGCGGGGGATCTGGCCATCGCTGCGGAATTGGCCACCGACCGTGGCCCGCAAGCTGACGCTCAGGATGCGGAGAGGGTCCTGGAAACCTGGGGCGCAGAGAGAGCCGCGTTTGAGGTGAAGGGGAGAGTGAAGGACGAGGGGGCAAAGGCTATGTCGTGCGCGGACACCTCTGCAGCGGTACAAGAAGAGTTGGGCTCTGAAATGCTGGAGCAAAGGATGGTGAAGGAGGAGGGAGTGGAGGCGGCCATAGAAGTGGAGGCACTGGGAGGGGAAGAAGTGGATGTGGCCGAGGAAGATGGAGTCATAGGAGAGGTGGAGGAAGCGGGACCCTGGGCCCTAAATATGGATCTGCACATGGATCCTCTGGAGGCCATCCAGCTGGAACTGGACACCGTGAATGCCCAGGCGGACAGGGCCTTCCAACATCTGGAGCAGAAGTTTGGGCGGATGCGTCGACACTACCTGGAGCGGAGGAACTACATCATTCAGAGTATCCCGGGCTTCTGGATGACTGCTTTTAGGAACCACCCTCAGCTGTCTCCCATGGTGAGGGGCCAGGATGCGGATATGTTGAGGTACGTAACCAATTTGGAAGTGAAGGACCTCAGACATCCTAGAACTGGCTGCAAGTTCAAGTTCTTCTTCAGAAGAAACCCCTACTTCAGAAATAAACTGATCGTCAAGGAATTTGAGGTCAGATCTTCCGGGCGAGTGGTGTCTCTTTCCACTCCAATCGTGTGGCGTAGGGGACACGAACCCCAGACCTTCATTCGCAGAAACCGAGATCTCATCTGTAGCTTCTTTACCTGGTTTTCAGACCACAGTCTCCCAGAGTCTGACAGAATTGCTGAGATTATCAAAGAGGATCTGTGGCCAAATCCACTGCAGTACTATCTGTTGCGTGAAGGAGTCCGTAGAGCCAGGCGTCGACCCATAAGAGAGCCAGTGGAGATCCCCAGGCCCTTCGGTTTCCAATCAGGTTGACCTCCACCTTTGGGAATACTGCTGCACCACGTCCCCTACAACCTCCTGCTGGACAGACATATGCTTGGGCAAGAGCGATGGGTATGCCTTTATATTTTTTATTTTTTGGCTGAACTTGTGCCCTCTCTGGATATTCAGTTGTTTCAACCTCACGACTGAGACTGTTATGGACATGCTTCTCAACCCATACTTGGCTTTCATGCTGTTTTATGTTAATAGTATTCCATGCTGCATGGCAGTGGATCACACTGCTTGTAAGACAAACCAGGTATGTAGGTTACATTACCTTGATCTGCACTGCATGGACCTTGTTTCTACAAGGACCACTGATCCTACCACCACTTGGATTTCCTTTTTTTTTTTTTTTTTTTTTTTTTTAATTGGTACTGGGATGGAACTCAGGGCCTTTTGCTTGCAAGGCAGGTGCTTATGCCACTGAGCTAAATCCCCAGTTCCCAACCACTTGGATTTCTAGCTTCTCTAGGAGTCCATTCAGCTCATCCTGCTCTGCTTCTGAGGATCTCAGTCTGTGGATAGTTACTGGATGCTGGTGATGTCAAGGGAGAGTAACAGTGGTTTATGTTACTTTATGACTGTGCCTCCACCATCACCTTCTAAGTTGCCTGCTGTTGGCTGTGCCCATTGTTTGAGTGTTGCCACCAGCTTTGTCTCCCACATAATCTTTTTCTGCTATTAAAAAAAAACTTAAAAAAGTTAAATGCCTGAAAAAGCAGACTTTTTTTTTTTTTTTTTTTTTTTTTTTGATTTGGGCTCTTATTTCCAGAGTAGAAAGGTTACCCCGTAAAATAGAGACCTGCTTGTCCTCTCTCTCCTCTTCAGACCTCCCCCTATTGTAACAAGTACAGAGTATACAGGGAGGCCTGTTTAGTTGGAAAGAAAGGTAAAATCTTCTTTACAGTTGATTGAACAACTGGACCATGGGACAGGCTTTAAGTAGGGAAAACTTAACAAAAGGCTAGAGGCAGAAACGAGCCAGGTAAAACTGGGTTGAGCATGAAGACTGGACTGACCAAGGTATCAGTCTTATGAGGGGAGATGCTTTCTCAGGATTGAAATAGAAAAATTGCAGGGATTTTGGAGTGGTAAATAGGTTGTGTGGGAAAAGGTTCTTTAAAGATACAGTGCAATTTTGAATGCTCTTCTTTTGTTTATGTGATGTGATGTATGTGGAAGAGTAATATTAATACTTGTTACTTTCTGTTAAGCTGACTGGGAAAATTACCTGTATAGCTTTTTTTTCTCTTTTTTTAAACTTTCAGAACATTTGGAAGAATGACTGTTGTACTTTGCTGTACAGTGTTGTGTCTTAAGTAAACATTCCTAGGAGATTTCAGCTTGTTCTTTTTTTCTGTTAAACTATTCGTAGAAGCATAGTTTGGATGGCTTGGTCTTTATCGGACTTGTCAAGATATTGTCTTCATGGAAAAATAATCCACAAATACTGTGACTTTATTGACTTTTTTTGGTAATGTGTTGCAACTTAATAATGTATATGTGTCTTTAATTGCATTAAGTACTTGTGAGAGTAAATGTACCATTGATATATGTGTCTTTTTTTGTATTTGTGTGGTAGAATAAAAGCATGTCTCTGCTAGATTTCCTGCCTCCAAATATACTTGAATGAAATGGTTTGCACAGTTTATTTGATTTATTAATGACTTATTCTGGACTCATTACCACTTAACCAGTCCAATTATTTAAATACAGGAGGACCAAACATTGCATATTTTTGATTAATTTTTGTAGTAGGAAATAGAAAAATGATAATTTAATCAAATTTGTTCAGTGCAAGACCTGGGGATATAGCTTAGTGGCTCAGGCATCTGCCTGGCAAGCAGAAGGTCCTTAGTTTGAGTTCTGGTACCAAAAAAAAAAAATTACTCAATACAAGAATTCTGGTTGAAATGACACCTACCTGTGACTCCAGGGAGAGTCAGTATCTAGCCATGCTGGTCCCAGTGAAGCTCAGGGTGAACTGCTAAAGGGGCTCCATAGCCATGCGTCCCAAAAGTCAGATCGGAGCACAGTGTTGTTTTCCTTATAGCTAGTAGCACCATCATCCGTACTTTGTCAGATCCTTTATATCTGTATTCGTAAATGATACCTGTAGGTCATCCAGGCTGTTCTTTTATTGGCTTCTACATTCCAGAGAAGGTGTTTCTTATGTGTTCCATGGTTCCCCTGCTGCTTTACAGAATATTCATGGGTTATTAGTATCAAAGGAACAGATGAGCAGAACAGTTTCTCCTGTTTGCAGCTTATTGGTGGCGGATGAGGAAGAGGAGGAGGGGGCTCTCGCGGATTCTCACCTTGTAATACAGCCCTGGAAAACCAGACATCTGCTGTATTAGTTCATTCTGTGAACTCCCCCTCTACCCGCTTCAGTCATAATCCTTCAAGGCCTGTCCTGCTGAATCTGCCTTTTGATTTCTCTGTTTCCATTGGGAGATGTTACTGTTGTATAAAATGTAGCTAGTGGACTTGTATATGTTTCTTTTCTAGAAAATAACGGAATTTATTACAGAAAATTCCACAACTTGTTAGTCACTTGGAAGGCCGTGGGAGACAAAAAAGAATAATAAATTCATTCCTTTCATTAAAATAGGGAAGAACTGCTGGCCAAATAGTTCATACAGAGTGACACAGTGAGAGTTACAAATTTTCTGTCACTTTACTAGTTTGGAAACTTTGTGAGTGTAGACTGACTTTCACAGTCTCATTGCATCTAGCCTAATATTTTGCAAATAGTTGTTAGCAGAGAATCAGGGACAGGATCAGCAGCTGAGGTGGGGAAGAATAACTTAATGCCCAGAAATAACTACTGTTTTATAAAAATGAAGTGAGAAAGATTTACAAATCCATTTATAGATAATGAAATTCCCATTTTTCTAATTAGGAAAAAACATTTTAATCATTCACCTGCCATTTAATATTACTTTGGGTCACTTTTTGTAAAATGTGTTGGAAACTATTGTTGACAAGACAGATGTGCTGTCTAATACCGTAGCTGTGTTCAGCTACCTGGCTCTTGAGACCACTTGAACTGTGGCTTGTTTAAAGTGAGAAAGGCTGTAAATGTAAAATATACATTGGACTTTGAAGACATGGGAAAAATGAACTATATTTTTATAAATCTCAATTTATAATATATATATTCTCAATTTATAGATATTTTTATAGATCTCATTTTTTTCTTATAGATTGTATAGTGAAATACTTCTGACATTGGATTAAATATATCAATAAAATTAGTTGTTCCATTGTTTAATGTGGCTACTGTGAATTACACAGGACAGCATGGCTGTATGCTCGCTAACTACCTTAAAGCATACAAAATCCTCAAACATTAGCTGGGGATTTAGCTCAGCAGCATAAATGCCTGCCTGGCAAACGCAAGGTTGTGAATTCAATCCCTGGTACCACACACACACACACACACACACACACACAGACAAACATACAAACTTCCCAAATATCCAAACATTAAATGTGTTACTGTCACAGTGTTGGACCATGGCTGTGTAGAGTATGAAAAATTACTTGGAGATAAGATTTAGTTCAAGCACCAAGAACTCAGAGGGGCTGCCTCTTGGGCATAGGACAGCCTCAGGGAAACAGCCTCCAGGGTTATTTATTTGTGACCCAATTGCAGAAGAAGAACAATGTAGAAAAAGCATTTTACAACATGCTGTATGGGAGCTTTTGTTGGGACAGGGATGGAATAGGAGATTTGTTACGTAATACATGTCAGCCTGCTTTAGGCAGTCCTACCAAGGCAGAGGGAATAGGACATCCATAGTGGCCAGGTATGGTGGTGCACTTCTGTAAACCCAGCACCTGGGAGTCTGAGGCTGGATTGCTACATGTTTGAGCTCAGCCAGGGTTACACAGCGAACTCAAGGCTAGCCTGAGCTACACAGCAAGACCCTGTCTTAAAAAAAAAAAAAAAATGCTGGCCGAAGCAAACATCTTTGACAGTAACTTGCTCCTAACTGTTGACTTCTGCAGACTCTGCTCTACACTAACCATGCGTTCCAGGAATTGTTCTAGCTCCCTTCCTTATTCCAAGTTCAGTTACTCGTTTGGCCAGCATCTCCCCCTCATGTCACTGCTTTCTCCCTGTGGTATTTTCTTTTTTGACTCTTAAGGGTTCCTACTTAAAATTCAAGCTGGGGGAAGTGTAGCTAAGAGCCAGTAGGTAAGAAGAGGGTAAACCTGAGGACCTAAGATACTCTAAGTGGTATCCACAGTGTGCTGTGCTACACACAATTCTTCTAGATATGTTTCAAGAAATGTTTCAGTATTGCATGAAGAAGATTAGGTGCTAAGTACGTGAGGCAAGAGCAGGGTGCTTGTGGTTAATGCATATTCACCTCGATTTTGCCATTTTATTTTTTCAAGATTGTTTTCCCAGGAAAGTATGTTTACTGTGTAGCTATTTGTATTTGGATCTTTGCTAAATTATAAGTTGTATCAGAAAAAAATTCTGTTTTTTTTTTTTGCCCTTTCTCTTTTATTCTTTTACACAGTAGGTGTTGAGTTGGAGTCTGATTCTGACAGTAGCCATGTTCCAGTGTTGATCTAATATTGCTGAAATGAATTTGTTAATCCATCATAAGCCAAGATTTTGAGGTCAGACAAACTTGGTTTGAAATCTGTGTACTCTTTTCCTCACTGTTTAAGCAGCAGACAGGTCTGTTTAAAATTAGCTATTAAAAGTGCTTTTGCTATTTTTTAAAGGTGTTTTCTAAGATATTTACTGTATTAAAGGTGTTAAACACTTCAGTTCCAGCAGTACTCTTTCCCTGCACACACATTGTGCAGGAATTCCTAGAATCTTTAGAAATAGCTGTAACATAACACAGGTATTACTATCTTCCAATGTTTTTATATCTTTCTTTCTTTTTTTTTTTTTTTGTCTCTTTCCTTTTTATCAATACCGGGGATCGAACTCACGACTGCCTGCTTGCAAGGCAGGTACTAATGCCGCTGAGCTAAATCCCCAGCCCCCTTTTATATCTTTCTTAGTCCAGTTCAACTCTTCTTCCACAAAATTTTAACTTTTTGCTTAATTTTACATGTATGTTGTTTCTGAACTGTACAGAGTTGCATAATAGAAATTGCCACTGATTTTATACAACGTGCAAAATAGTCCACTTAGTGTAGGTAATAAAAATAAAAATTGTAAAACTGCACTAGTTGGCTTTTATTACATGGTGATGTACTTTACAGATACATCATCTTTATGATAGTCCCATAAGCTGTGATTTATTACATTCATTTTATAATAAAGTCATGGCTCCAAGAAGTAAAATATGATCCAGATCAACTAGCTGGTAAGTTAGCATCACAGATGTGAAGCTAGTCCTGGAGAATTCCAAAGTGTGTGTGTTTAACCAGCCTACAGTGGTGTATGTCCTTAAGGTTGGGACCTTTAAGATTGGGGAAATTGAGATTGTGTGTGTGTGTGTGTGTGTGTGTGAAGTATTGTAGGGACCCATTAGAAGTAAACATTTCTCTGAGAAAATTTCAGTTTTGCCTTAGTGATCAACTAATACAGTGCAGATTGAGTTTAATAACAGCACCACATTTATGTGGGAAAGCCACACTGGAGCACTTTCAGTGGATATATATAATCACTGTAAATATTTTCTTTAGACCAGCTTTAAATTTTAACATCAAGGCACACAAACTAAAATCTCACTTTCTTTAGAAAAGCTTAAACTTTAAGATCAAGGCATTTATTACTTATTTAGATTCAGGGTCTCGCTGCGTAGTTCAGACTGGCCTTGAGGTCAGAGATCCTCCTGTCTCAGGCTCCTGAGTACTGGGATTATAGGTACAGGCTGCCATAGCAGGCCAGATTACCATGTTACAGATCACTTCCTTACTCTACTGGCCAGGAATGGGAATGTCGTATCTCAGTATTTAAAAACAGACCATGATGTGTTCAACATTTTAGTTGCTATAGTGCTTTTGGTTATTATAGTGAGTGGGGAGAAGTTTACTAAAGGCATTAGGGGTGTTCCAAATCAGAATAGTTCCCTATACAAAATAAGGGTTTGAAATCCTAGTCCAGCCTGGGCAACTTAGTGAGACCGTATCTCAGCATGAAAAATAAAGGGCAAGAGATGCAGCAGACTGAAAGCTGATACTGAAGAAAAAAAATATAATGCTAATCATAAAAACTATTATTTAGATACGAATTATTATTTACACTTTGAACCTGGCATTATTTGACACACGAGAGCACAAAAATTTACACAGTTATAATACGTTCTACCTTTTAAAGGTAATTTCTTATTTCATCTACTCTAATAAAATATGTTATGGCTTAGCATTATGAAAATAATTGTCAATTAAAAAGACAGACTTTAAATAATTTTATCATATTTCACTCATGAGTATATCTAAAAACTAATTGATGAATAAATAAAATTTTATTAATCCAGTCTTTGATTTAGAATAATAAAGTTAATTTTTTAAGTAAAATTTTTTGGTGTTTATGTTTGCTCAAACAGTAGTGTCCTCTGCATGTTGAATGACTGGTGAAAACATTTCTTAACAGAATCATCTGACGCTTACAAAAGTACATAGCCAGCCAGGTGTGATGCATACCTGTTACCACAGCCCTCTAAAGCAGGCAGACTGAAGGTTGGAGTCTAGCATGGGAAACTTGGTGATTTAGCAAGATAGTGTATCAAAAGATGAAAAAGTCTAGGGATACAGTGCAATGCCAAGGCCCAGGATTCAATTACCAGTACCAGAAAATAAAATGAAACAACAAAAATGCACACATGAGATATTTTTCCTAAGGCTCTAATATTCTGCAAGTTTTGATGTTCTGCTGAAAACAGGACTAATTTTTTTTCTTCAAATGTCTTTCAGAGATTTTGAAGGTTAAAATATCAAGAGATTACACTGATTCAATCATGCCAGTGAGACTAACCAGGCTTGTACACGCTTAGATAACAAGTCTGCCATGACTGTTCTGCTAATTGCAGTTGTAAGATACCTTTGAGTGTATGTGAGACAGTCACTTCTGAGGTGCTAAAGTGTAAATAAAAAGCTTGTCTTAGGACTGAGGAGAAAGCGCCTCCAGAAATGTAATTTTATCCTTTTCTTCCAAAACTTGGTCATGAAGCTGCTACTTTAGACTCTATCACTACCCAAACCACGGCTGCTTACGCCTTTAGCATGATACACGTGTGTTGGGCTGCATCGGTAACTTCATACAACAGTTACTGCATAGATACAACTACTTCGTGTTACAGAGTCTGTACATACAGGCCAGTGCATTTAATATGGAGATCATGTTTTAAAATTTACTCCCCTTTTATTTCTCCTATAAATTACAACTGAGACCTTTATTGGTTTTTAAAAAATATGATATATGGTGGTGTACATTTGGAATTTCAAGAAGATGGGAGTTATGTTTGTTATATGTTAAGTTTGATGCATTGGAAACTAATGAGGCATTGAAACAGAGTCATAAATTATTTCTTCCTTATTAGTAGTCTGAATACTTTTCAAACAGTGGGACTAATTTGGGCCTGGGGAAGGGCAGAGATTAGAGACCCTATCTGTTCAGCTCAGGATGTGTGGAAACAGTCTCCACAGGTAGGTGCTTGGAGGTGGGGCCTCTGCGAGGCAGCTAGTGCCCTGTAAATCAGGCCCCACATTAGGACCTGAGGGCAGCTGGGGCCTCAGAGAGTTCCCTCACCCCTTCCTATGGAATCAGGAAGGAGGCCTTGACAGGATCCTCAGTCGGCTGGTGTTTTGGACTTTGAACTGTGAAACAAATGTCTATTGTTTCCAGTCTATGATGTTTTGCTAGAACAGCCTGAACAAACCCTAGATTGGCCATATTTTGTTATTTTGTTTTTATCTTTTTCTCTTTTTCTTGCTATGTAGTGCAAGTTGGCCCTTATTTGATTGAGATCATAATCTGGGGTGCTCATAGTGGACTTTCTGTTGCGAACAGGAATAATTTGTTTTAATAGGAATTTATGATGTTGAACATAAACATGTAAGTTTCACTTCGCTCTTGCTTTTCTCTTAAGGATGAACACCAGTATTCCCATACTTCCAAAAAAGTAAACATAGCATTGTCTGGTCATATGAATTCTCTGAGCTGGCTTGAATAGACAGTTAACCTTTCTTACTTCTTCAGTAATACTGTAAAAAGGCAGTAGGGTAGATGCCTACAACTAGCTGCAAATTGAGGAGCGGGACCAGAAGTGGGCGAGTGTTTGCTGGCTTCCATGGCTACAAGCATTGTGAAACAGAAACTACTGTTTTCAGGAAGAAAAATAAAATAAACATCATTTTGGAAATTAAATCCTCTGAGATTATATTTCTTCTAGAAATGCCTAAAGAACAATTTTATGCATGCGTTGTGTGTCCTCACTTCTAAGTAAGGAAAAACCTTTTGTTATTCATATTAAAAGTGAAGAGGAAATAGCACCCACTTGATTCACAAACGTTGGCTAAAGTCGGAAAACTTTAGAATTTGTTGGGAAGTTGAAAAATTACATAGTTGTTATTTCTTCATAGGATGTGGAGTTTGTCTCTCATGTGCTTCTATTTTTAAAAATCATGACACTGTATCAACACTTCTTTTTAACAATCAAGTTCTGTTTCTCTCCATTCTTGTAAGAGCCATGAATTTGTATCTTAAGGAAGGACTGAGCTGTGAGGCCACTTTTCTACTCATGAGAAGCCCAATGGTCTGACTTGAATACAGCGTCAAACCTTTTTAAGTAAGTATTTTAGGAGAGAATAGCTCAGGTACTGCAGAATTTCAAAAGCCTAGCGAACCACATCAACACAGCTTTTATATGCTTGAGTCTGGTTTACATCCATTCATAAAACTCAAAAACAATTCCCTCCATTGAGAATTGTAATGATGTATTTTGTTGTGAGGACCCAGGGAAACACTTGATTGGCTAGCATAATCACCCGGGCAGCGAATTCTCGCGAGACTTTCCTCTGCCATCCCGGGTTGCCATGGTAGCGCCGGCCTTGACAGAGAAGGGGCGGGGTTGGGGGCTGAAGGCGCGCGCAGCGGCGTCTGCAGGGAGCGGTGCTCCTTGTCCTGCGGGGCTGCCAGCAAAATGAGCGGCCAGGACGGGTGCAGCGAACTTCCTCTCTCCGCGGCCTTGGCTCCCGAGCACGCCCCCGAAGATCTGGCTGTGCACCGGCGCCGGGGGCTCGGCGAGGAGGCGGAGGCCGCGCCGGAGGCCGCAGGTGAGGGCTGTGCGCAGGCCGCCGCGCAGGGAGGCGCGCCCCCGGAGGCGGCGGGCCGGACTGGGGCTGAGGATGCTCTGCGTCCTGCTGAGGGACCGGAGCAGAGCGGGGCCTCTGTGGCGCAGGACGACGGCCGGAAAAATGGCTGTCCGCTCGGAGAGCCGCGCAGTCCCGCAGGAGCGACAGCGCCGGAAGCCGGTGGCGCGGGGACTGCAGGGTCGCCGGCGATGCCAGGGGCGAAGGCCAAGGAAATGACCACTGGGAAGTGCGCCACCTCAGCGTCTGTGGAGGAGGGAAAAGCAGAGCAGGTGGCAGAGGAAAGGAAGGTCATCCAGAAGGAGAAAAGGATGCTTGGAGGAGGAAAAGAGGAGGCCAGGCCCAAGACCCCGAAGATCAGTGCCTGCATGGACTCACTGGAGGCCATCGATCAGGAGCTGTCGAACGTAAATGCCCAGGCTGACAGGGCCTTTCTCCAGCTTGAGCGCAAATTTGGCCGAATGCGGAGGCTCCACATGCAGCGCAGGAGCTTCATTATCCAGAATATCCCGGGTTTCTGGGTGACAGCCTTTCGGAACCACCCCCAGCTGTCTCCCATGATCAGTGGCCAAGACGAAGATATGATGAGGTACATGATCAATTTGGAGGTGGAGGAGCTGAAGCATCCTAGAGCAGGCTGCAAATTCAAGTTCATCTTTCAGGGCAACCCGTACTTCCGAAATGAAGGGCTGGTCAAGGAGTATGAGCGCAGATCCTCCGGTCGCGTGATGTCTCTCTCGACGCCAATCCGCTGGCACCGGGGCCAAGATCCCCAGGCCCATATCCACCGGAACCGGGCAGGGAACACAATCCCCAGTTTCTTCACCTGGTTCTCAGACCACTGCCTCTTAGAATTCGACAGGATTGCTGAGATTATCAAAGGGGAGCTGTGGTCCAATCCCCTGCAATACTACCTGACGGGTGAAGGCCCCCGCAGAGGATTTCGAGGGGCACCAAGGCAGCCTTCGGAGAGCCCAAGGTCCTTCAGATTCCAGTCCGGCTGACTGCTGCCCTATGAGAAGCTCCTGACAGATTTTCTTACCAACCTCCATGCTTGGCCAGCAGCATGCAGTCTTGTCTGTTTGTCCTGGATAATTTTGATCTTCGGTTCTTCTAAATCTTCAACAGTGGCGGTGTGCCTTACCTGCCTCTGGACTTTCCCACTGTTCTGCATTGCAGTAACATTTTTCAGGTGCATGCCCTGCGACAGTTTCTGTGCCAAGCTCAGGAGACTGACTGCCTTCCTTTGTGGGGCTTGGGTCCTGTGTGTGACCAGGGTCTTCTCTGGCTGAAGTGGTTCTCTACCACAAGAAAGTTCAATACATCTTTGCAAATAACTAGGCGGGCTTCCTGTTATAGGCCAGCTGTGCTCCTGATAATCATCTACTGTTAGTTTCAAGATGAAACTGGTATCCCAACCCAGCTGTCATCAACCCAAACTGAACATTCCAGCTACCACTCTCTGAAGCCCAGCTGCCCGCCTAGGCCTTTGCTGTCCACCCTACTGGTTATCTGGTAGAACAAACAGGTAGCTGGTGGCTTCTAGGCATGGGTGATGTAATAGATGAAGTGCGTTTTATGCTATTACTTGGTTGTCTTTCCCTTAGATTACTATACATCATGATCAGCTTTGGTGGTATAAAGGTCTGTGCTCTAACACACACCTAGTTCTCTCCTGATTGAACTTTGCACAGGTTACCATTGTCTGCCTTCTCAGGAAACTGCCTCTACTTCACGATTACCCATCAACCCAAGTGGCAGGGAAGGGCTCCTTCCAGCAGTTCGCCTTTTTGAGCTCTGGCCCACAAACTACCCTTAATACAGGCAACCTTTTCCTCTTCCATATCCATGCTGCGTGGGGCAGCTGTCAGAGTGGGGCTGCTGACTTTGCATAGATCATGGCCAAAGCTTGTTATACCTCTTTTCTCCCATTCCCCATCCCCTGCCTTTCTCTGTGTGGGAGTTACAATTTAGAGACCACAAACAAGGCTGATAGGGTTTTCCTTCACTTGCTCTTGGATATATCTAGAGAAAGCTACTATAAAACAGACTGTGAATCTCTGAGTGCCCTCACTTCCTGTGCTCCATTTTTTTTTTTTTAAAACAAGGTCTGCAAGTTTCAAAGGGAGCTCTGTAGGTTAACTGCTTAACACTTAAAAGTGCTCTTTTAGGATAACCCCACCCTTTTCTTTTTTCTTCCCACCTAGTGCTATTTCTTTTTAGTTTGAAAAGTCAGAAGGAGGCAGAGAAGCGCTTCAGTGATGGGTTCAAGACAGACCCTGAGCAGTTAAGTTGAAGCAATAAAAACTTCACTTTTCTAACAGGACTTTGGACTCTAGAAATAACCAACAGCAATTTTCAGGTCACCCCATTGTAATTACTGCCCTATCCCAAAAGGCCCTTTCCTACTGTCTGGTCTTCCTGGCCTTCATTTCTCTCCTGAATTTCCCTCTGCTTCTGTCCTAACAGGTGCGGGACCAGGCTTCAGTCAGTGTGGGAGATCCCAAGCTTTCTTGGGGGATGAGGGGATGTGAAGTCTGATTGGATTTCCAGGAGTTCCATTAGGTGAACAGCAGTGCTCTCAGGGCTGCCTCAGTTGTGCGGATGATCATGGTGGTAACTGTGAGCTGCTTGTGGTTTCCCCTTCTTTGAAGGTGCTGCTCTGTGCTCCCTAAAGGCTTAAGGTCTGGACACAACCAGTGTAGGGCACTCTAGTAAACTAGGCCCAGAGGTGGAGTATGGTGTGGATCCGACTTTGCAAGGCTCCCATTAAACCTGAGACCCTACAGGATCAGGGATGGGAGGAGACCCAAGGTGCTTTCCAGGCACAGGCAGGCTAGGGACCTCAAGAGCTGAGGTTTAATAAATAGACTGCCTGGAGGATTTGCTTCCCGATTTTCCTAATTCCTTGAATTCACCAATAGATTTTTGTAAACAAATGAGCAAACCTAGATATTTTCTCCTAGAATCACCTTTATATATGTGGAAGATTAATGGTGTATCATCTTTTATTTCCCTCTTAAGAGTCAAATCCTATTCATTCCTCCATTACAGTCTACTGGCAAAACTGATGTTCACAGGGCTGCTTTTTGCTTATCATGGAGAACATGTGCAAAAATAACAAATCTGTGTCCTGTGCAGTAAGATGACTTGTGTGAATATTCATGAATAGAATGGTTTGTTCTGGTCTCATCATATCTAGCTTTATTCTTAGGAGTACAGTTTGAATGTTATCTTCAAAGAGCGAAGATTTTGCCAATTGTTTGTTATGTCTTGTGAAAGTAACCTCAAAAACTATTGCCTATCTTGATATCCCTTGCCTCAGTAATAATGTACTTGACATTTTTGTTGTTAACCAGCATACGTACTAGTAGAATTGCTGTCAAACTAAGAGAGAATTGTTAGAACTTCATCTTCTCTTATGTGCTGGGAGGAAAAGTAAAATGTCACTGCTGTGTTTGTTTTCACCCAAAAAGAAAACTACATAAAAAGTTCTGTGTTATCCGGATTAATAAAAGATTGGAAAATCAGTAAATTATCAAATGGTCACAGGGAAATTAAGAAGTTTGTCACTATTTCTTGCAGGGCTTTATGGACCAAGATGGGAATACTTACGACAGAATCTAACTGGTCTGGAGGGAAAGCCAGGCATTTCGAGCAGGTGTGCAGGACTTCTGCATGGACTGAATGGTTGGTACGTGAGACAGTCTTAACAGCCCGAGTTAATGACTAGTTGGTAGATTACCTTCCCTCCACACCTTTATAAAGTAGAGGCTGAGTACAGCAAAATTATCATTAGTAGTAACTGAAGTTGTGGTGTTTGTTACCTTGTTTTTTCTAGATATATTTCATTCTTAATATTTTGGGTAATTCTTTTTAAAGCACCTTAGTACTTCAGGAAAGTTTTTTTTTTTTGTCTTTTTCCTTTTTATCGGTACCAGGGATCGAACTCACGACTGCCTGCTTGCAAAGCAGGCGCTTATGCTGCTGAGCTAAGTCTCCAGCCCCAAGGAAAGTATTTTAACTAGCACTTTCAGAATCTAGTGATTAATTCTTCCAAAAGTCTTATTTTAGGCTCCTTTAGAGAACTAGATCAAGAGCAGCTTAGTTAACATAAATGTAGTAAACAAAGATGGCGTTTAGTGAATTTAGAGAATACTTTTCCTTGAAACACTATTTTAAGTGATAAAAATACAGGTGTTTCCCTCATTGCCAAAACTGCGTTGGTTGTGTTGGGAAATTAACTACATACAACTATTAAAGAATAAGTTGCTTTTCTTTTTTAATATTCTAATTTTTCTGGTGCCACTTTATAAATTTGTAAACAATGAGATAAACACTTCACAGTCGATTTAACAAAAGAAATTCATGTGAGAGCAGTGACATGCTAGAAAGGTAGAAGGAACCAAACCCTACCCTCTTTTTACAAAACGGAAAAAGCTGATGTCAAACTAGGTGGTGCCGTTCAGGCTTTTTAGGTAGGACAGGTACAAGCAGGATTAGAACTCCGGGCATGACAGAATTTTTTGGCTTCTCTGGCCAAACATACAATGTTTTCTTTTGGGGCTGTCATTCTGCTTCCTAACAGCAGTTTAAAACAAGGGTTTCTGTTTTTGCCATTTATAGAATGAACATGAATAAGGAAAAATAACTTTTATTTTTTAAAGAAATCAAATTTCTTTTTATACATGAGATCTTACACTGAGCACTAAACTACTATATGCTGACCTTAATATTCCAGTGACATTTCAGATGCCAGTTTCAAATGCAGTTATTGGTAGATTTCAGACAAAGCTACTGACTTTGAGGGGAAAAAAAAGCAATAACCTAGTATTTACCCTGAGATAACTGATATCTGAAGTATATGTAGGATATATGGGAATATTTACAAATCATAACAAAATAGTTACTTTTCATTGTGCGTTTCATCTGCTCAATTCTCTGCTACAGTCCAAGTAAAGTAATGTTAAGCAGTGTTTTTTCTGTCCATTATGGATAGTGAAGTTACAGTATCCCTGCGTTATCTGGCTCCAAACATCTTTTCACAAGTGGCTACTACTGAGGAAACTAAAGACAGAACACAGAACACTCCAGCCTTGGATGCAGCAGACCTGAAAAGAGCAGTCTTCCTCAAAAAAAAAAAAAAAAAAAAAAAAAAAAAAAAAAAATCTCATCATCTTCTTACCCAAAGACAAAAATCAAATTTAACTCAATTTAATTAACTATAAATTTCTCTTTAATGAGCAAAAGCCTAAGTCCCTTTTTTGTTAGGGCTAACCACTGGAAGGCTACCATCCTTTTTTTGAAAATGCATGCTTTAAAGTTACTGAAAATAAATAAGCAGTTACTTATAAAATAAAATTAACATTATTAGGGGAAGAAAAACCTAGTGGGGAACAGCAGAGACTGAGAGAGTTTCAGTACTGTCCCATGTCTGTTGATCTCACTTTAGAAAAGAGAGGAACAGCATGAAATAGCTTCAAAAAAATCATATAAGCCCCAGACTGTTGGGATGCCTCCCAGGGTTTCTGATCCAGGAGGTGTTTGGAAGGCCTTCAAATCTGCATAATCAGGCTCCAGGTGATGCTGAGCTGCTGGTCTAGTGTACCACTTTGAGAACCACTGGGCTAAGCACGTGTGCGTGTGTGGGCTGGGAGCCACCTGTGAGACCTCCTGTGCCACCACCTCCTCAGGGATAGTCTGATCTCAAAACTGTTGGTATGGAAAATATCAATGTTCCTTGTACTTCTATGATACTTAGATTTTAACATAGTAAGAGTTGTTAAGCATCAAATAGTTTATATAAAATAGACTTATGCACAAATATCAATTACTTGGTCGTTTTCACAAAAACTTGTTCCTACAAAGCATTTTACAATATTTTTGAAAATTAACATCTGTAATAGTACATTTGGTACATATATGGTTTTTCACTCTGATTCCTTTTATTGTCGGTGTCTCGTCATTTGATAAGACCATTGGTGTAATGGACTAATGGGTAGTAGCCAGCTGTTTTTGAACTGTTTGAAGAGAATCTTGTAAACTTGTAGTCCAGGGGTAATTCTGGGGAGAGAAAAAAACGTCCACAATATGATTATTCTGAAGGTTCCCAAACACATTTCATATCAAAGGTGAAGCTCACATACTTTAGAATTTCTGAGTTTAACATATCTCTTGCCTTCCCCTCTAGGTGGGGCCTAGCATGAAGAGTCTAGACGCCCCTCCCTAGAAAGTTTACAATAATATTTAAATCAAATCACAGAGCTGAGTGATTGAGTGAGTGAGCTTAGTACTCTACACAAATCAACACCTAAAGTAGGAATGTTCATCTGAAGTAGAAACTTAAAAAATCTCTTAGTTCCTACTCGGGCTCAAGTAACTACTGAATCCAAGTGCGTACTCTTCATAGCTTTAAGCACAGCCCAGGGTTACTAATGACCTTTGAATAGTTAGCAAAATAACATGCATGAAACAGTGCTTCTATAAAATAAGCATCACACACAGGCACCCAGGCAGAAGTAGGGCCAGGAGGGGACTCGGAAGAAAGACGTACACTGTATGGTTCACTGATGGTGGGACACTATGATACCCACATAACGGGCTTCAAGATCTTCGCCTTACCTGAATTTCTCCAGGGAAACATAACTGTAAGTATTCTATGTGGAGCCTAATGATTTATGCCATGTTGTTCATTTCACATGCAGGTAATAAGGCAATAATCTTTATGTCACCAATTTTCCAAGTAAAATATCACTTACTAGTAGTGGACATTTTGAAAATGATACTGGCATAAACTGTACTTGATAACAGATGCCACTGAGAATCATCAAGACTTAAGCACTAATCTTAATGCCAGAGAAAGCTGGGATTACTGTGACTGCGGAGGCCAGGACTTGCGCAAGGCCATGGGCCTCACTTTCCTACTGACCGGAGTACATTTGGAGCCCCACACTGAAAAAGGAATTGGGAAGTAAACTGGTAACAGTAGTTTCTAGAGAACACGTATCTGAGGTCTTGGATTTGATAAACCATCAAAATGCCTAAGAACACCTGGAGCCAATCACTCTCCACCCCATTCTTTTAATGTCCTAAAGGAAATGCTCACACCTATGTTAAAAAGATGACCTTATGAGAATGTTTAAGACCAAACACCATTGTTATATAGATATGGTTAAACACAGCTTTTATGGCAGCTCCTTACCCCACAGTGTCAAGCAGTCAGAGAGGTGACTGGATCACACTCCCAAGTGAATCAACCCATCTAGGAGTTCACTGTTGAAAGTGCATTAGAGGTGGGCCGGGCCAGAACGGTGGGTGCCTGGGGGCATGGGTATTCCCACTGCTCCTCCCTCACCCCTGGCTTCTGGCTGCCATGGGCAGGGCCGACTTCCTCCACCATGCTTCCTGCTTTGGACACTTTCCTGGACTAAACCTACTGAATGGCCATGAAACAAGGAAAGCTCTTAAATTGTGCATGTGGGGTACTGCCCCAGCGACTGGAAAGTGATTAATAAAAGCTGTAAAAGTGGTTTCTGGGTATGTGATTGTCAATGAGATGCCCACGTTCCATAAGAGGCAAAAGGGAGCATACAGCTTTTTCAGTCTTGTTTCATGCGAAACAAATAACTTCATTCTGTCACAGGTTTAAAAGACAATGAAAAGGCCCAGTGTAAAATAGTCCCAGAGTATGGAATAATCAAACGGAGTAAAGTAACTGCTGTTACAACAGATCCCCTGGCTAAGGAGTCATCAGAGTTAAGCAGGAAGAAAGTATTCACATTTTGGCTACAGACACTGCTGTTTGGAAGCAAAGAGAAAGGGAGAAAAGAACCCAACTCCTGCTTACCACAACATTCCTCTGTGAGATGCTGTGTACACTGTGCTATCCACATGTGGTTAACAGTTAAATAAAACAATAAATATTCTTATGTATTAAATTCTCATAAAGTAATACAGAAATTAACAACTTTTGGGAATTACAACAAAAAGAGCCTAGCAGGATGACACACAAAGAGCCACATCCAAAGCCACGACCATCACAATGCTTCTTCTCGAGGTAAACTAACAGTAGTGTCCCCCTGTACTGAATGCTACAGATGTGATACTGAAGTTCTGTGTGCGAGACAGCTTCTGACAGCGGAGTGCTTATACCAGTACTTTGCTTTTGGAGGAAGTATCTTGAACATGAAAATAAACCTTATGACATAACTCTCATTCTTTCCCCACAAAGAATGAACATTTGTTTAGTTTGCCTGCTGGCAAATCTTAATACAGTGGGACCTTGGCTCATGAACTTTATTCTAATATTCTGGAAATGACAGTTATGTTTGCGTTTGTGCAGGAAAGATGGTTGTGGTTGTGTTCATTGCCCGATGCAGTTTGCAAACAAAAGCATTTGTGAACTGAAGTAGCACTGTGTTTTCTCCTGTATGCTGCCATAGAGAAAGCTTTTGCTGCTTATAAGCTCCAAAGGGCCTGCCTCTTTGCCTTTGTAACAGTAACAATACTAGGGCCCATTTCTTGAGAACCTGTTTGCTGGCTAACTACACTGTATCATCTCCCACAACAACCAAGGTGGTGGAACCAAGGTGGTGGAATCTTGGAGCTGTGTCAAAAGCTGCAGTTATCAAGCATGCCCAGAGTGCATCCCTGAAAAGCAACTAAAGTGATCTCTGGACTAGCAACAAAGCATTCACAGACAGCACAAAACAAACAATACAGACATGGCAAGGCAACAAAACCCAATTCCCCAGAAGCCAATCCAGGGGGTGTCAAGGGGCAGAACAGATAGGAGAAGGCTAGAGAACAGCTCAAGGAGATTCTTAGTAGGATTAAAGAAGATACAACAACAGATAATGCAAGTAATAACCAAAAAGATGCAGGAGCTCTTGGAAGAAACTGATAGCTAGATGAGCTAAACAAATGATACAAAACATGAATGATCAGTTTACCAAAAAAAAATTAGAGTACATGAAAAGGTTCTGTTCAGAAATCCAGGGAAAGCATGGGCAGCAAGATGAATTAATATGAGGACAGAATTTAAGAATTAGAAGACAATGATGTCTTCAGAGATACCTTGAAAACAAGAGAAAGTGAAAACTGGGCCAACAACTGCTAGATAATGCAAAGACTAATCTAAGAATAACTGGAATAAGTACCGGAGACAACACAAACAGCATAAATAACCTGCTAACAGAAATAATGGCAGAAAACTTCCCAAACATAGGGAAAGAAAGAAACATGTAGGTAAGTGAGACATATAAAACACCACAGCCACGACCAAAAGAGAATCTTTCCATGGCACATTATACTCAGAATTCTAGAAATCTGTCACCGGGACAAAAACCTTAAAAGCTGCTATAAAAAGGCAACAAATCACACACAAAGGCAAACTCATCAGATTATCAGCAGACTTCTCTACACAAACCTTAAAGGCTAGGACAATTTGCAGTGAAGTGTTCCATCCCTAAAAATAACAACCTGAGATACTGAATTATGCATCCCGTAAAACTGCTTTAAAATGATGGAGAACTAACGTATTTCCATGACAAGATGTACCTCAAGAAATTCAAGACCATCCAACCAGCATTTCAAAAATTCTCAAGAAAACATCCTCGAAAGAGAATGAAACCCACAGTGCCTGTAAGTCAGAAGAATGACTACACCTGTAGGAGGAGCAGGTAATCCAACAATGTATGGTATAAAAGAAGCACATTTAATTCAAAAACATTCACAGATTAAAAATATCAAAACATACAGAACAGTACTCCAAGAACCAGGAAACCATATAAAAACAAGAATTGCCATCCTAATTTCAGAAAAAGTAGATTTTAAGCCAAAACTGATCAAAAGAGACAAAGGTCATTACATACTAGTTAAAAGAACAGTTCAACAGAAGAGTTAACAATTATATACATACCACATACTGGCACACACTTAATAAAAAAGCACTACTGGCCATGGAAAATCAGATAAATACCAATACAAGAGTAATGGGAGACTTAATTTCCCATTGTCACAAACAGATCAACTAGACAAAAAAAATCAACAAAGAAACATCAGAGTTGAACCAAACCTTCGAATAAATGGACTTAATATCTATATAGTATTCCGTCCAACAACAAATACACATTCTTTTCAGCAGCACATGGGATTTTCTCCAAAACATACCCTACATCAGCCAATAAACTATGCTTAAATAAATCCAAAAGAATCAAAATTATCCCTTGTGTATTATGAGACCGTAGTGCACTGCAACTAGAAATTAACAGCAAACAAAACCCCAGGAACTGCAAACAGGAGGAAATTAAGTAATAACCTCTTGAATAATTAATGGGTCATGGTGAAATTAAAGAAATCAGACAATTTCTACAATCAAACAATAATGCCAGTAACAATGTATCAGAACATGTGGGACACAATGGAAGTAGTCCTAACAGGAAGTTCATAGTGAAATCCCACATTAGAAAAAAACAATGAACTCAAGTAAGCTAACGATGCGCTTCAAAGTCCTAAACAAATAGGAAAAATTCAAAGCTAATATAATAAAGGAAATTATAAAGATCAGGGCAGAAAATAATGAAGTTGAGACAAAAAAACCATAGATATATAAAGAATGAATCAGAGTTGGTTCTTTGAAAGATTAAACATATACATAAACTTTTAGCCAATCTTACCAAAATAAGAAAAGACTTAAATACAATCAGAAATAAGAAAGATGTTTAGTTTGGTAATTTCATGAGGTCTTATAAACATGTGAATCTGAGCAGGAAAAATTAAAAGGGGTAAAACCGAAATAAGCTGTGTGGGTGCAGCAGCTCCCTACACTGAGTGTAAGCATTCTGTGTGGTAAACATGTACATTATAATAAGAGGAAAGAAACATCCAACTTTCGGCGCAGCGTCAGAAATAAGGGCTGATCTGAGCCACCCAGGCTGCCACATTCAAATATCTAGGAGAGGTTTCCCAAGAAAAAGAACTCGGTGTCATCCGCAGAATGTCTCTCAAGGTCACAGACTCTAGCAGGAAAGGCTACATTGTCTGTCCAGCAGCCGGCAGGGCTGTGCGGGGATCTCCCTGCTTACCTGCAATGGCTTCGATGCTTGGAATTGCAATGGTGCTGTAGGTGCTGATTTTGTTAGAAGACCACGTATAAACCAAGGAGTCCTCTGTGCTTTCCCGTTCCGCAATCGAATCAATGAAAAAAGAGCCCCACTTTTTAGATAAGGTATTTAGAGGCTTTGCCTTTAGTCCCTAAAATAAGAGAACAAAGTAACTGATTAATACTGGAAACTGATAAACCTAGTGTTTTTACCCCCTACTTTGTAAATAACAATTATTTCCTACTATAGATGTACTGCCAATCAATTGATATAAGGTTTCAAATTACTAGTGTTTTTTAAGTATCTTATTTTTCTAGCTGTTCACTGGGAATACTGAGGTAAGTATGTCCACTTCTTGTGGGGCTGAACACAGTCCTTGTCACACCTTTGCTCTTCACCTACGAATCCCCCCAAGAGGTGGTCACACCCTAGACACGGAACCCTAAATAAAACAGTATTGATTCCTGAGTGAAATGCCACATTGATGTTCACAAATAAAGAAGAAAGATTATCTGCACTGCACATGGAGCTGTCAGATGCAGCAGGCTGAAACGCGAGTGAACAACACTGGCCTCGCTTTATGTTTCCTGAATTAGCTAGCGGCAATGTATGCTGTACTATAGTTCAAGTTAACATTAGCCATCTTGACTCAGTTTACCCAGTCTGGTTGCTGTAAGGCGACATCTTAACCTGCAGGTATCACCGGTGAATCCGGCCTCCCTCATAGGTAACTTTCCCTCGGTAACTGTCCTGGTACCTCTTTCTTAAGTTCTGACCGAATATCTGATTTCTTACATGCTGGGATATCAACCCATTTTATTAGGCTGGACCATATTGGGGTGCAGGTATTCACCTGTTTTTGACAAATAAAAACATTAATTTTATAAGTTTGGTCTACACAGATGCTGTAAAACTCCTTTCCCATGGGACGGTAGCATCATAGGTATCATGAACAAAATACCTAACACTGATGCAGCTGAGGACATCAGCTTTTCTTACCGTCTTCTGGGATTAACTCAGGAAGTTACTGGCCACCCTGCGGTCAGAACAGTACTTTCAGAATTCAAATCCAGTGGCACACGTGTCCACACCAGAGTGCAGTGCCTAGAAATGTTGTGGCTCACAGCATCATCTTGAAATAATCTGGCCAATTTCAGTTTTAATTACATTTCGGAAAGTTTACATAGGCTCAGTGACGTAATTAGAGTTACGTTCTTTTGCATTCAGACTGTAAACTGGCCAAAAGATGGCACCTTTTGTATACTGTGCTCTTGGTCTTTTTCTCACCAGTCACAAGCTGCAGGCTCATGCAGTGCCCTCTGTGTGGATGGTTGCTCTCAGAATGCAGCAGTGGAAGGCGTCTGAGTCCTGCCTTCTCTGCAGGGCAGCAGAGTCGCTGCTATCATGAGGAGCAGAGCTGACTGCCCGTGTGCTGTGCTATTCCCACCTGCGTGCAAGGGTGCTGTGCTGAGGGCGGACCTCACTTATACACTGATGCAGTCTGCTCACTGGTTCTAAGTTCATGTCAAATGGTGTTTGTAGAGGAAAAAAACCGTTTCTCATTTGCCTTCACATATAGGCACAGATGCATGATGGATTTTGTACAAAGTGGATAATACCACCAAACTGGCCTGACAGCTCTGCTAGGGATCACCCCATCAATACAAATACAGCTTTAACAATGAACTACTGAAACATAAGGGCATTCATGTGGGCCAGGAGAACAAGGGCCACTTCAGCTTTTGCACAGAAGTTCTTCTGTCAAGGAAAGAGTGGACAGGCCCCTCACCTCGTATTTCCCCCTCTTCTCCAGAGGCTCCAGCTGCTCAGGCTTCTCACCCTCCTCGCCCCTGAGTTCTTCCAGGATGAGCACAGTCTCCCAATTACTGTAGTGACTTGCTGGGAAAATGTCGGAGTGCATGCTGTCGCCAAAGTAAACGACCTGAAAGTTGGGCAGCACATTCTGTCTCAGAGGTGGGCATTTTATGGAAGGCAGAAGAAAATTCCTCAAGATGCATCAAAGTATGACCACAAAATACGGCCTAAGTTTACACATCTTAAACTTCCCTGGGTAACTTCAGAGGTGACCACTGAACTGACCCTATTGTTCGCGTGCCACACGGGCTGTTTCTATTCCTGGAGGCTCCAAAAGGTTCCCCATGGGGTGAAGGGATAGGAGGCAGAACCTTCAGACCGAGCCCTCTGTGCCCTGAACCCTCCTGCGCCCTTGGAGGGCTGTGGTGAGGGGAGCTGCAAGAGCAGGACCCTCACTTGGTGGTCTGTCCCGTGCCTGCGGCACCAGTAAGTATTTTTTAGAAGCGAAAATTCTGCTGTAAACCTGTATGCTATGTACAACACCGACGTGGCCAAGATGTCAAAGGAAAATGTGCCTCTAGTCTGTGGCACAGTTTCCTTTACTGCTTATTTACATGTGGACATTCTTCTTTTTTGAGGAATTGAGGGGTTACCATTCCCAAGGCACCCCAAACACAGATCCCTCTCACTCTGGACCATGCCCCTCTGCTTGGAATCCTTGCTACTCAAGGCATTGATAGAGCCCAAGCCTACGTCAGCAAAAGGACGACTTATTTCATGAGAAGAGGTAAAAGGAGAGAGGTGGTGGGCGGGCAGAGGCAGGCGATCCCACCACAGGTGACTAAATTGAACCCACGGACAGCCAGGGTTTTAGTTTCCAATGTTCTTATGAGCAAGCAGACATAAAGGACTCTGTCTCCACCCAGAAGTACCTTTGGCTGAGGTTTCCCGGTCATTTTCTTCAGCAGCTGGTAAAGGTGAGCAGCGTTTCCCTGGGAGTACCAGCCAGGTTTCTCCAGAGATGGCAGCGCCTCCTGCTCCTCATCGTCCTCTGCAAACACAGTGTGACAGTCACCCGCTCTGATCTGGTGGGGGAGTGCTCCTCAGGGAGCCAGTGCTCAGGGAGAGACTGCTGACTGCAGGCCTAATGGGGGAGGGGCTCGCACTCCTGAGCTCCACCAGCACCTCGTGGGTGGGCGTGGGGCGTCCTACCCAAGATCTGAAAGCTGGCACGTGACTTACTCAGGGATCAGATGTACGCCTGTTTCTGCAAAATGGCTCACTAAGGAAACAACCCTGAGCAATGAAAAACACTGAGCAATGATCTTTTTGGAATCGGGGGTGAGAAAGCTTTCATAAGTGGTCTTTTAAATTCAGGTTTAGTAGATTAAGTTTAGTAGCTCAGGGCCTCAATCGCTTTGCTCTAGTTTGGATGGAAGAGAATAGTAAAGGGACTATCTGATCTCAGAGTACATTTGTGGGCTTTCCAAGCTGTTTGCTCTCATCTCTATGTTTATAAATTCAAGTAGTTATATACTACTGAGACGGGGTCACATTTCATGGTGGATAAGAAGCACATAAATTTGTTTTCATAAATGTTAGATAATACAATAGAAAAATAAAAGTGGACATGGAGGGTGACTGATTTCTTAGTTTTAAACTGGGATAGTTACAATGCTTACCTGACACAGTGTGTATGTAAATTAATATAGAGGAAGCCCATGTGTCTATGTGTTTACCAAGCCTCCGCTGCTCTCCTTTCAGGGTAACGGTAAAGAAACTCATGTGTGGACAAATGAAGGAGTCAGGAGAAAGTGTGTCTTTAGGCTAGTCTGCAGTATAATTTCAGATAGCGCTCGTTTACATATGAGGGTGCTTCTTTTTGGATGACTTAGTAGATTACCACTTCTCAGACACCCCAAGCATGAATCTCCTGCATTTTCTGGATTGTGGCCCTCTGACCAGTACCTGACTGCTGTGGCCAGGGCCAGGCCAAACCCTCAGAGCACTTCCAGCTGGGGTTAGCGCATAACAGAGACCAAGTCTGACTGTGGATTCCGGACCAGAATGTAGCATAGGTGTCACTGGACACAGGGACAGTTTGCACCTGGCATCCCTGAGGGCACCATAAGCTGACAGGGGAGCCCCAGCCCACTCCCGTGATGTCTTTATAGCCAAAGCTCAGTGCGGATTGTAGCACCTATTTATGTCAAAAGAAGTCAGCAACAGGAAAGAAGGGCTTCAGAATGCAGAACAGGGGAGTTCTGGAAAATGTTCTGGCAACTTAACAGAGTTCAAAATTGAAACTTAAAAAAATGTGAATGTGTTACTCAAAAACCACAATAATTCATACTTTAAAAACACCAGTTGTTGCACTCACTATTCTACAACAGTCACCCATTCTTTCATGCACATAAAAGCAATGTGAACACCGATTCTTTTCTTTTGCTTTAAAGGCTCCATTTGCTGAGGCATCACTGACGCACCTTTGCAGCATATGGTCAGGTGAGTTCGGGCACGTACATGCACCCTGTATTGGCTGAGCCACTGTATGTCCCCCAAATTCTGGGCCCCAGGATCTCAGAATGTAAATATACTTGGATGCAGGGCCTTTACGAAGGTTACTAGGTTAAAATGACACTGTTAGTGTGGGCCCTAATACAGCATGGAAACCTCACAGAAAGAAGGAACTGGGTCCACACAGCAAGGCCGTGGGAGACACGGCCAGCTGCGAGCTGCAGAGGCCTCGGCCGAAACCAGTGCTGCCAGCTGGCACCCCGGTCTCAGACTCTGTGCCTCCAAACTGTGGGGAAACCAACTGCTTTCCAGTCAGGCAGTCTGCAGTATCTTGCAATGTTTTCTCAGCAGACTAATGGAATACACAGGACTTCCAGCCTGAGTGTAAACAATAGCATCCTCACACCAACGTCTGTAACCTACAATTTTAAAAGTAATTTTATATGCAGTACACTGTGATCTGCCTCTTTTTAATAAATGCATTCTAATATATGCAAGTTCCATGATTTACTAACTAGTCCTCTGCTGACAGACATGGAGACTGTCACCGACCTCCCATTCTTAGACTGAAAACAGGAACAGAGCAGGCTCCACACAGCCTGGTGGGAGAAGACGGACGTGCAGGTGGAAATGCAAGGCATTTACTTTCATATCTTAGCCTCCTCTCTGCTTTATCTCATCAACTGTCTCTGGTACTGGGATACAGCACCGAACAAGATGCTCTTGAGATGCTTATTCTCTGGTGATGATCTCTCCCTTGTTAGAGAATACTCACCAGTGAAGTATGATGAAAAACATAGACATTATTTTTGTTCCCAGGATTCCTTTTTATATATACTTGGACTGACTGAATAGTTCCTCTTCACTTTTATACAACGTCCCCAATTCCAAACTAGAATTTCTTGCCCCAACTGTACATTTTCAGGCATATTTTTTTTTGCATAATTTTTAAGTAAAATATCCACTAAAATGTTTTTGTTGTTGCTGTTGTGTTGGGGGCTATCAAAGGAAAATTAGGAAAATAGCCTAGCAGTGAGGTGGGTAAACTGAATAGACTAGAAAATGAGATTCTTATTGTGTAACAGTTTGGTTTGGTGGCTTTCTGATGCATTTAATTGCTTTTTAAGGCTTTCAGTCTTTTGCTTTGGTTTCAATATACTTACTTACCTAAGTCGATTCTATACCCATTACATTTGGAAGTTTATTTTTTTCCAAAATGACAATCTTCACTTAAATGTACGCACTAAGACATAACTTGATTACTGGGGATGCAGACTGGCTGTAGCAAATGTTAACATAGTAAAGCAAATCAATAAGCAGGCACAGACAAAAACATTTACATTAATGAATGAGTGTTTAATTCTACACTAACATATTTTGCTGCTTTCATTCAGCAAGTTTCTAATGTTTCTGGCATTGTTTGCTAGGCCTAGCAAGTGACTCAGCAATTCAAAAGATAGGAAATCAGTATACTGAAGACACACCTGCACTTCAATGAGCGTTACAGCATTACCTGCAACAGCCAAGATATGCAAGCCAATTCAGTGTCTCTCGATAGATTAAAGAGTAAGGAAGATGTATCCCTGTGTGTATTGGTGTGCACTTGGGGATACAGGAGGGCGTAAAAGGTATAACATCTGCATATGGTCTATGAACAGTCTCCCATATATTCTGAACCATCTTGAGCTTTTTTATGATAGCTATTAAAGTCAAGATGCTATGTAAACAGCTGTAAAACTCTGGTTCAGGAGTGACAACAGAAGGTCTGTATGTGTGCAATCTGCACGCAGTTCTATTTCAGGTATTTTTCCTGTGGGTAGCTAAAGCTGCAGATGCAGCGGGCTGACTACTCACACATCGAAGCACTACTCAGCCTTAAGGAAGCAATCTTCCTATCTGAAACAACATGGATGCACCTGGAGCATAAAAAGCTAAGTGAAATAGGAAAGAAAGAAAGAAAAACAAAACACGGTTTCATCTGTATGCGGAACATGAAAAGCTGAACTCACAGATGCAGCAAAATGGTTGCCAGTGGCTAGAGAGATGGACAGACCAGAAATATTGGACAATCCCCACCCCCCAATTTCAGCTAGATAAAAGGAATAATTTCAAAAGATCTGCTGTATATCACAGTGATTCCAGTTAATAAAATTGTATTATATTTGAAAGTGGTTAAAGGAGAAATTCCAAGTTTTTTCTTCACAAAGAAATAGAATATGAGGCAATACATATAACTTAGCTATTCCAAGTATACCGTCCACTGGAACACCCTATTGAACACCAAAAGTATGTATAATTTTTACTTGTCAATGAATAAATAAAAATTATAGTTAGAAAAAAAAATTAAAAAAGTAAATAAAGCAAGTTGTTCTAGAACCCAAAGTGTAAAACAATTTTTAAAATGGAATTTTAGTAACAGTATTGGTATATATTTTAAAACAAACTTTATAACATTTTCAAACTACAAGTCCAATAAAAGACAAATTTTTTGGTTAAATAATTGAAAATGTAACTTGTGGGATCGTTATTATTATTACGCCTCGCAATGTGGTACAGTCAAAGGAGAGGGAAGCGTAAGGGGCACTTCGTAAGTCCTGCTGTTTAAGCAGTTTATCGTTAATCTCATGCAGCTTTAATTAAACAGAAACACCACCTCAATTGCAGTAACTTGTCAGCATCAGTTAATGATCTCCAATGTTAAAAATCTGGTCTATTTTTTACATGCACTGTTGTTCATTACTAGTGTGTTTATGTGAGATTTTAATCAAAGCTCTATGAAATGCCATAAATACAAACACAGATTTCTGGGGGGATGAAAACACTGCAAAAAATAAAATTCTCATTTACTGAGTACTTATACATTTATGTATAAGTTTGTAAAAAGGGATTTAGCTTAAATTTTTTCTGGTTTAATTAAAAGAATACTGTCCCGAGGTAACAAATTATTTCTTAACATGAAGGATTTTCAGTATAACATTTAAACATATATGTTTACATGTACACACAAATATAAACTTTTATATACCTATGCTTTTATATATACATAAAACCATATATACAAGCATTATAAACTTGTAAACTTATATAAATACACATATATAAACACACATGTGTATATATACATATGTGTGTGTATATGTATATATATATAAATAAAATTAATGCTTTGCTTTCCTCTGGAGTAGGCATTTTAGCAGTCACTACTGAGGTCTGGGGCCAGACAATTCACTGTCTCTGTGGGGCGTTCTCCTGGGTGACAGGATAGCTGGCAGCATACCTGGCCTCTGCTTCCCCATGCCAGCAGTGCCCTGCTTCTGAGCTAGCAACCAAAAATTTCTCCAAAGTCCAATTTGTACTGAGGGGCTAAACTGCCATCGCTGAAAATCCAGTGACTTGGGTCATCTCATCAGCAGAAAGGTACGTTCCAGGACCTTCATCTTACTAACTGTGCCCTGGTCCTACACTGCCTTCCAGCTAAAACCTCCACTCTGCTTTCACAGCTAAGCGTCTAGACAGTCGTCCACCTTCACAGGTTGCACCACCTCCCACAAAGTCTCCAGACCCCGCCCGCAGAGGGGTTTTTTGCTCATGGGAGGCCTGGGCCACTTCTGTTTGTCTGACCATTCTCTCTTCCCTGTGCAGCCTCTGAACTTCCAGCTTCCCTGACCATAACCCCGGCTACTGCACCACATTCTGCCTTCTCTGTGATGAACACCAGCCTGTAGGCGTGGGCCACGACTTGGGCTGAGACTTCTACTCCCGAAACCTCTATTTCATCTCAAGCCCGTAACTTTAAATACTCATCTGTGAGCTCATCAGCTCTAAAATTCATCTACTGACCCCACACCTCTGCTCTTGGACCCAGGTCTGTCTATAGAGTCTTCTAGTTGATAGCACCAGTTACATAATCCACAGGAACCTCAAACTTACACTGAAAAGTTATCACCCCGTGCCATCCAGCCTTGCCCCTTTATTCTTCCTCATGACTATGAATGGACTTCTCACTCATTTCAGAAAAAGGAAGAATTAGCCGCTGGCAGGCACTGCGGTTTCTTCTGTTTTTATCTGACTAAAGCACCACCTGCCCAGGGTGCTTACCCTCATGGCACCTGCTTTTCTCAGCTCCAGTCCTGCAGACCCAGGTAGGACCAGCACAGCCTCTCTGCAGGATACTGCAATGACTGGGGCTTGTTTCTCTTCAGCTTTTTCTGGGCTCAACTAATTCCACAGCCAGCAGTCAAAGCAGTCTCTTCCCTTCTGTCTTAAACAACTGAATAGCTACAAAAACCCTTACAGCATGATATCCACAGCCTGTGAGGCTGTCTGCTGCTCACCCTCACCATATGCTCCTCAGACTCCTGTGCCAGAATGGCTGCCTCCTCTCTCTCACCGAACACCACAACACACCCCTCCTGTCCCTTAAGTGGACACTTCTCCACTCTCACTAGCTGCCCCTCGGCACCCACCTCACAGCTCACCTCTGTTGACATGTGCAGAAAGGCCTCTGCTCCCTCACACCTCTTACACATGGAGCAGTCTGAGCCAGCCCTCAGGGTTGCCGGCAGCCTACGTGTGGCTGCACCATCTGTTTCCCAGAGACCTCTCAGTGCCTGACACTGTCACCTCGAATCTACCGCAGATTTCACTGCTCTGAGCCCGAGTCTGAGCTGGGTACAGACAGCCAGCGGCCTAGCCCTGAATCAGACTTTTGCACAGCAGAGAATCTGAAAGCAAATTCTACTGCATTGTCCTGTTAAACAAAAGCACTAAATGTGCATGACTGACATGAACACTTCTTTGAAGAATTTAAACTTTTAGTCCACCACAGCGTAGCATGTGACCACAGCAAAGCAAGGAGAAGCGTGCACAGTCTATGATTCTGCCCAGTGGGGGTGGCTGCTACAGCGCTAGGTGTCTGAGTCACAGGTAAGAGAAATTATAAAACATTTACTCCAGTGAGTGCTCACAAGTACAGTGCATATTTTGTACATATTCTTAATTATTATCGTATTATTATATTTCAAACAAAGCTAAATGTCTACATAGGTCTACAGATTTTGTTAATAATCTTAAATAGGGCCAGGGATTTTAGCTCAGGGGCATAAACACCTGCCTGGCAAGCACACAGTTGTGAGTTCATCCCTGGTACAAAAAAAAAAAAAAAAAAAAAAAATCAAAAACAAAAAGCCACTTAAATATATGTATTTATGACCATTAAATGTGTTTCAACTTCTAGTAATTTCTAAGCTTATTTCATTTCAGATATTCATCTAACAAAACTTCTGAATAACCCTCAAATGTTAATTTGCCCCTGCGCATATCTGACATTAACCTAAAGGACAGGAAAAACTAACTGTGCTGCCTTTCACTCTCTAGCTCTGTAACTGCTCTCCTCCCGACAGAGGTCCATTTTTTCATATTTATTCAGGAGGCTTCCAGGGCACACCTAACATGTGCACTTCACTCTGCTTTATTAGTCTTTTTCATCTGGAAAATATGTTTGGTCTTTTTACATCATCTCTTTCTCCGTCAGCCTCTCTACCCCCGTGAGAACTCTAACCATTCTTCCTGGAGGGTCTCGCCTGGTTCCCAAGGAAAAACCTTTTTTTTAACTGTTGTTATTATTTGGTTATGATCTAAATGGATTCTGGAGACATTTTTGTTCTAAAAAGTAACCCAATCTGACTTACTACAATAATTCATTCCCTCAAGTATCTATGGAGGCATTGATTTAGGTTTTAAAAATTCAGGTAAAGTCCCTTTCTTTCAGTTCTTAAAATGAGGGACAGACTGCAATGTACATAAATGATAAAGTCTAGTACAAGCAGGCGTGTTATCGTGTTTCTCTCCCATGGTGCTGTGGGTAACACAGGTGTCACATACAGCTGTTGGCCAGAAATAAATGTCACTTACTGAGCGTGTGGAAAGGTCTCTGCCTTGGGGAGTGGGAGAAGAAGCCAGGCTTCAGTGCATTCGTAATCACGATATCAAAAAGGTCTGCGAAGTCCTTCCTAAGAAGCAACAACATTTTTCACACATTTACTCTCAGGAACTGAGATGGTTCCCAGAGAAAGCGACTATGCCTGCGCCTATGACACACAGCATCACCACCCATCTCCTGGCCACTTGTGAGGCGCTGCACACTTTCCGTACGCAGCTCAGCGAGTTCTGCACTGGGACTCATGGTGGTTGAACACTCACTAGTGTTCCTGAGAAGTCCCTGAAGTATAAGCGTAACAAAAATGGAAAAGAGAAGTAAAGCTGGAAAAACAGACACAACAAAAGCAGCACAGTGACTACGGAAAGTAGCACTGGTGTTGGGAGACATTTCTTGGAGAGTACCCAGACTAGAAAAAAAACCTTAACTTGGAAATCAGCCCAGTCTTACCATCTAATTTTTAGAGGACAACGACTAGTGATTTTTGCTGGGTGTGGTGATGCACACCTGTAATCCCAGCACTGGGGAGACTAAGGCAGGAGGATTGCTGCAGATTCGAGGCCAGCCTGGGCTACTTATGATAGTGAGCTTAAGGCCTAAACTACATGGTGAGGACCTGTCTCAAAAAACAAAACAAAACAAAACCCTCATGATATTTAATCCATATCTGGCATTATATTAAGAACTACCTGAGGGGGTAGACACCCTGGAAAAGTGATATTTACCCAATACTCCAGAATATTTGTACAAATCAAAAATTCCATGAGTAGAAATTAAGGTGGGAAAAAGACTGATTATCTCTGCCAATGAAAAGCGAATGAAAACTCCTGGGTTCTCCATGTGAAGCTGGGTCCTGCACGAGTGGTGGAGAACCCTGCACGTTATTGTTCTTTTAAGACAAACAATGTTACCGTGTGAGTTGTTTTTTCTAAGCTACAACCTCAGTATCCAGGTTTAACTGCAGCAGAGGGCACTGCAACAAAGTAAGTGAGTTTTGGGCTGCAGTTTGGGCCTTGTTTCTAAAATGTTCAATGAACATATTGGCGGAACTCAGCTGAGAGGCTAATTTTGCTTCCTCCCCACAGCGATGCTTTGTCTGCTGCAATCTGAGGAGTGCAAGGGAGCCCGAGAGCCCGCCTGGTCTGCTCCGACCATAGCACCATCTCCAAGATCAGCATTCACAACTATCTGCCTGACAGCCTGTGCTAAATATTCCCTCACCCCTGTGAGGTGTTACTGTTCTGTTTGCAGGGCAACAACTTGAAATCTTAAAAAGGCTCTACATCTTGCCCCAGGTCACACAGTAAACTGCAGAGCAGGGCATAAATGCACACCTGTTCCACTTGCCAGTCTACTGCACCTCTACTGCCTTGATTTCTATGCATGTGGCTTCCATCACTGGTGGTATAGACCGGGAAAGACAAGGCTCCACACCGAAGTATGTAAAAGACCTCCAATTCAGGAACCAGCCAGGAAGTGTATTCCATAGCTCAGCATTCCCCAGTACTCATCCAAATTCGAGAAGCACAGTTCACGAAGACTAAGGACTTTCCAGGAACTCAACCATCTCTGAGCTACAGGTACCGCAGCCATAACACTGCTCTGCCTAAATGTGTTTGGCAGGTAGATGGGGACTACAGTGAGGTGGCCGAGTGGGGTGCTGTAAGCAGGTATTAAGTCCTGTTATGAGGGAAAAAGAAAAAACACTTGTCACCCGGCACTATTTAAGGTACCATTATGGTTATTGTCCCACACTTTTAAGAAAGCACTGCTATGTAATACGTGATCAGCAATTTATGAGACCGTGAAAAGGGACAGATGCACCACTTACCCAAGAGTATATTCACAGAGCAATCTGCAATAATCACTGTGAGAACTGGTGATTAACAGGAGAATCTTCCCGGCGTTCTTAAGCTGCTGAAGCCACTTTCTTACGGATTCAGGACAACTGTATAAATATTTTCCTGGATCTCTTTTTATTTCTGGAAAATATAGTCCACAGTTTTCTGAAAAATAAAAGCAAGCAGGATGTCTTTTTAAACATTTATTTGACTCCAGGTTTTCTCAAATAAATTAGTCTCTTTGAAAGCTATGGGATGAGGGCCAGGTTCAAACAATAGCAACAAGGCAAAGCTAATTGCTTTTTAAAAAGTACTTTATAAAAATTAAAAATAACAGTGATTAATATATTGGCTGGCTATGTGATGAAAGCTATAAGCATTAAAACAGGTAATAAACACAGTATCATCGGCATTTCAAATCTAACTATATTTGAGATACCAATTGACTAATATCTGCTCAAACTCTGAACAAATAATTGCTGAACTGAGATATGAACCAGATATGCAGACAGTGCACCAGGAATACACCTTCAGCACCGAGCAGCAAATCTGCTTCCTCAGAGGCACAGACACACGCCACAGAGTCAGACTACAGCCCAGGAGAGGGGCTGAGATGGAAGATGGAAAACCCAGAGACAATCAAGCCAGAGAAGGCTAGAAAGCACTACAGCTGGCAGGGAATGTCAAAGACTTTAATCATTAAACTTAGGCTGCTGGCTCGGCCCCGCTGATCTCTCTAGTCAATTTACAGATTTAGACTGAGCTCAAAGATGGACAGCTGGTGGTACTATTTCCAGAAATATGGCAAAATGAAAGCTGTGTGTATGTAAAAAACTACAGACTGGGTTGAAATGATACTAGATTCATACAGCATTTCAAAACCACTGTTCTCTAACTGCACTAACAGCTGCAATGTTAGACTGCACTAATGAGCACAGAAAGAGAATCCAAGGTCTTACTGTCTTAACGGCTAGGAGAACACAGTTGACAAAATAATAGGTTAAAAGCTTAAACTCAACGGTAGCCTCTGCAGTACTAGATAAGAGCTGTATCTGCAACCCTGTCCAGAGTGATGCCATGGAACTAACAGAAGTGAAGGTATATTTCAGTAACGTCAGGATAGCAGTTTCTAAGTGAAATAAAAATAAACAAAACCCGAAATGATGCAAATACTGTTGTCTACCTGCCCAGTCCAGTCCTCCCTCTCTTCCTGTATGTGGGAGTGCTGATTTGTGTGAGGTTCCTCCCATCTCAGGTGCCCTAGTGCCTGGGGAGGATCCGGGTCTCAGTTCTTCTGCACCCAGGAGAGTAACTCTTATCTCCTGCAGTGCACTGTCAGGAAAGTGCAGGGTACCCAGCCCTGGCTGCTGGGTGCTAAGGGAGACCTTGCCCTCACTGCATGCCACTCATGAGACACGCAGCATGTGGACCACTGATACTGGAGGAGACGTTCCTCTTCCACCACTGGACCTGGCAGGATAACAAGTCCTACCCAGAGATGCAGCAGCTGTCCACAACACTGAGCGCACATCTGACATGCTTGGGAGCTCAGAGTAGAAATATGAAAGGCGCTGGGTTCCTGCTGACATCCCCAGGTCCCTGATTAAGCCACCCAGTTAATTATCCTAGGAAGTTGGTACCTACCACCCAACTCTAGTGACTTCTGCTCATGTAAAGTACTTCATTAATGGCTTTACCATTAAGAACATCCATTATTTGTAGCCTACAGCATCTTGATTCAGGAGGTAACAGCAACAGATAAAAACAAGAGAGAACACGAGAATAACATTCAGACCTCAGGAAACAAACAGCAAAATCAGTCTGGGTTCTCCTTGTATTTGTTCTACAGAGACATCTGTGAGTAACTTCCTAGGATTTCTTAGCATCCTAAAAAACTCTGGAATGGTCTTTACAAAAATTAAAATATTTCTTGTTTATTAGGGGAGTCAAAGTACTAAGGAAAGGCCAGCTTAGGAAAATGGTAATGAGATGGCTAAGAAAAGAACTGTTTGATGACAGTCAAAGTAATTCCCCAGGTGTTGTCTCTCTTAACTCAGCCACATGTGAGATTATTTCACCCAAAACACAGAGTTTCTGTAGCAGAAGACACTATTGGGTAGATAACAAAAAAATTTACAGTGTGTAACGCTGAAGACTTTGTATTCAGAAAATAATCCTTAAGAATGTTCTGTTTTCTACTTACATGTGTTTAGTGCCATCCAGTGATCAAAACACAAAATTGCTATTAAAAGCCAACATTTTCAAATGAAAATAAAGGCATAAATACTACCAAAAAAGGGAAGAGGATTGAGAGATGCATGGAGGGAGGTGGGCAGACAGAAAGGAAAGGGGATAAAAAAGGAACTAAGATGTGTTATGTTTGTGTGCCAACCACCCACAAGGAATGTAAAAATGTACTACAGACGTGCTAATAATGAAAATGATCAGAAAAAGAATATACTTTTAAAATTTAAATTTCTTACCTAGATCAGTTTGATTGATATTTCCTAATAAGCCTAATCTAAGAGGGCAAACACTAATTTAATCAGAGAAAAATACCCTGAAGTAATATTGGGCTGTTCATTTCGTTCAAAAGGCACTGAAATGGACAAACCAAAAATCTCCTTGTACAAAGAGATGTCACTGTACAGTAACTAGGAGTTTCTTTCACCACAAAAGATCACTGGCTGTCACTGGAAAAATCCTTTTGTCCTCTTGTGACTTTAAACCATTATAGAATAAAAGATAATTACCTAAGCATACAATTACTTTTTATTGAAGTACATCAAGGCATTAAAGAAGAGGAATGTTAAAAATACAAACAAACTGTAATTTTTCTACTAACTTGTTTTCTTAAGAGACCATAAACTCTGAAAGACAGGAAATACTCTTGTGCTTGCTGTGAAGCAGGTATTTAATTGATGAATACCTACAATATGCATTAGTAGACATGGGGACATCTGCACATATTTAAAGTAGTACAATGATTTGCAATACACAGGCCAAACTGTGACAACTTTTATATGCTATCAAAGTCTTTCTATCTACAGAGTCTCCAACTTCCTGAGATACAAGAAAGTTATGTGTAACTGTGATACCAAAAGGCCGACACCGACTGGACCAGACAGGGAATTCAGGCCGCAGGGGCAGGCAATGGTTTTATTTGTTCCTAACACACGAGGAGCCTGTGCTTCCATGAGACCTCTGGGGATTTCTGTGTCTCTGCCACTTTTCACAACTTCTTTTCCTGGCCTTTCCACTCCTCTGGAATTTCTTGATGCTGGTGTCTTTTGTGTTCCAATGGGATTAAAAGTTGCATTTTGAAAAGCTAGCTCCCCCAGGTTGAAAATGTGGCTGATCTACTGTCCTGGAAACAGTAGGGAAAGTGTTGCAACATCTCATAAGCACTTAACGTGGATGCGCTGACAGGATTCAAGGACCTCTTGTGGTAACAAAAGTCAGTACAGCTGGAATATTAAAAGTGATTTATTTTTTAAACAGCCACACGACTGTTTCTTTCATTACTGAGTAAGTAAGCATTTTTCTTGCAAACTGTACCAGTACTATTCATGTGATTTATAGCGAGTTTTCAAAGCTGCAGTCCAAGTGGCCTGGAGATGAGTGCTAACCAAGCCTCCAGCTAAGTGCTGCTGCTGATTCTACTGCAAAACTTAGGAGATTTAAATATGTACAAGCTTTACTAGTTAACTCCATACTAGTAAACAGATGAAGGATTTAGCCACATGACGTTTAAATGTACCTAACTGCAGAGATGATCTACTTAATTAAAAAATATATATATTTTTCTAAGAAAGAAACATTTTTTAAAGGACTAATAATAAATGTGTCTTATATACAGATGGCAAAGGAGGATGCTGACATCTAATATTTACAAAGGTTTTCTATTACATTCTCTTTATAGTTTGGGTAGTATTTGTAAATGAAAAATCTAGGATCTTTAGATTGAAGTGAAAATCTGTATGCCACACAGAATGTTTAGAAAAGGACCTTGAAGAAGAACTGGGAAATGAAGTATATAATACATTGAGCAACATTATGAATTTACAATTTAACAGTATCTGACTTCTATCTCTGTTTAATCTGTTCCATGCATGATGGTCCTATCTTGTGGTTTATACCACTAGTGATACAAGTAGATCTAATTTTTACTAATTAATAAAAAAGCATAGTTACTTGAATCTGAATAATTACTGCCCAAAATATTAGTAATATTAATGCCAATTCAAAATTATAATAATCAATAAATTTACATCTTTCAATTAAAATAAGTTTATAATTCATGAATTTCTTTAAAATATTTTATACATAAAAGTGGCTGATTTGTGCAAAACACAATGGGTTTGACTTTTCTGGCAGCCACAGCAGTGCCCACTTCTTTCAGATAATTTTTAATAACATTCTCTATATAGCTTGTATGTATTTCTTGCTGATTCTAAATAAGTTTCTATAAATTGAATGTTTTTTCAAGTAATTTGTGCCCATGGCATTTTTGCATGGGTTACTAGTTTATCGATAATTAATTTGCTAGATTTTAACATGGAATTTTACAAGTACCCTATTGCTGGTGTCTATAATATGCATTTACAACTGCTATACCACAAATCAGCTGTATTACAATATTTTATACATTTTTAATGTTTTCCTTAATATAGGACTCTTAAAACAAAAATGGTTGCTGTTTCATGGCTAGATTATTATCAACTTGAGTGGTAAGTATTTTTATTATTCCTTTGTTGTTCCTGGTCATTCTTATTTTTGTTTGGGAGTTTTGTAAGTAATATACAATTTTTGAGTACATATTTATATATTATAAACTACTTATTTTTCAATTTTAACAGAATTTTGGTTTTGTAAAAATTCTTTCCATTATAGTGTCAAATATAGAAAACAGATGAGACCCACTTTAGAAACTGGTCAGACCCCTTTGTAGCACCAGTGATTCAAGCCACCAGATGGGACAGCCATGCATGTGAGGTCCCTTAGCTCCAGATGTCAGCTGCCTCAGGTGCAGGTGACACCGACCTCAAGTGAGGAGCACTCAGCAAAGCCCTAAATCGTAAGTGACAAAAACTTATGCTGCCACGTTTTGTTGTGGTTTCTTATACAGCAATATACAACCAGAACAAGATGCTGGAATGAAGTCA